TKTKWTWTTTTTTTTGTGTTGTAATAGTTCGATTGTTCAACGACTAAGTTACTTGGTTTCTTCACTGGTAGTTTTCTCCTTGGATGATGAAGATTGTTGTGAAGTGGTAGTTTCTTTTGGACTAGTTGATTCGGACTTTGGTTTAGTTTTATTGGTTGAAGATTCTTGCTTTGATTTGCTATCAGGTTTGGGTTTTATCGATGCGTCCTTTAAAGTCTTCGATACTTCAGTTTTTGARCCTGCACTGGATTTATCATGTCCCTTATCGTGGTGGGGCTTGTCATGGTGTCCCTTGTCGTGATGGGGCTTGTCGTGATGTCCTTTATCGTGATGGCCCTTATCRTGATGGCCCTTATCATGATGGGTCTTTTCATGATGTCCCTTATCATGGTGAGGCTTTTCATGATGTCCTTTATCATGGTGGGGCTTATCGTGATGACCTTTCGTCGACTTTTCACCCTGAGCCTTATCTCTGGGAGAATCCTTTTTGGAATCCTCTGTCTTGTCATTTTCATGGTGCTCTGACTCACTGGAATGGCGTTCCCTATGATCTTTCTTGGACTTGTGATGGTGATGRTGGTGGTGGTAGGGATCAATAGGGAACTGATTCATGGGCTGAAAATCAAGACATCAAACATCGTCAAATAACTAATAATAAACTACCAATATAATAATCAACGATTAGAACAAAGGCTTCAAAGATCAAGAGCTCTCCTAGTACCTTTGCATAATTTAATGCACATATTCTATTGCTAAGAGAATTATGATAAAAAGAGTTGAAATAAAGAAACCAAGGGAAATCCGTGGTCCAGAGTGAATCTATATAATGCAAGGTCTTAAACGATATAAAACAAAAGGAAATACTGTATTGCACAGTTGGGTGTGACGAGATCAAATTGTCTCATGCAGCATGTATGCTGAGGCCGCGAATATGCCGATACGTTTTCGTAACATTTTTGCGCTATTCTACGTTCTCAAAGCAATGGAAACGCGCTAGTATACACGTTGCGCGCGTCACMTATGGACGACTGCTTAATTCCGCATAACGCATATATGTACGTGTAATTAAGAACGAGGTTCACGSTTCACTTACGTCTTTGCGGAAATCATCGATTATCTTGTACTTATCCAGACGTTTCTGGAGTTCTGGCTGTATGTCAAACTTTTGTTTGCCCTGTAAATACAAGGAAAAGATGATATTGCCTATGTAAATAGACCTCTGAAGCTTTAAAGGCATGTTCCGTATACGAAATCCATTCTAGGATAGGATTGGGATAGASCATGGGGGCTTTCTTTTATTCTTCTTCTAGAAACTGAACCCACAATGCATTAAAAACAAGTAGTGATGTATAAAGTTCAKATTTCTATTGTATGGTTTTGAATGCATACCTTATAGTATTTCAAGAAAGCCCAGAACTTCTCAAGACCGTAGAGATTTCCTAGAAAAAAAAAAGAAATTAATGTACATCAGCAAAACGATAGAAATTCAGATATTTTGTCTGATAAGAGTTTCTCTTTCCCGACGTTAATCAGTTATTGCTACAAGTTATCAAAATATCAATACAGCCTTTAAGTACYGAATATGCCTTTTTCTAAATCAGATGAAATGTACTACCGATTTCTTGGAAAACAACGCTTCAAAATTTTTAACGCATTTTTGAAAACACATTCGAGCCCTTGGACATCGCCATCTCGAGCTTTGATGTTCCCGCCAAATCCAATATGATTTGCCAAAAACAAAAAAAAAAAAACAAAAAAAAAACAGAAGTCATGGCGCGCTGTGTCCAACACCGCCTGTCGAAAGATCAAATGAAACTCTTACCCTTGTCATGGTCCCGTAGAGTTTCCGTCTGGAAATCCCTGAACACTTCAGGTCGAAACTTCTTCTCCAGACCATAACTGTAGTATCTAAACATGCACTCCAAGCCGTATCTATTGAAATGAAACAAGATAAACTTCGCATACAACTATGTTAGAGAAAACGTCGAATACTGAACAGTATATTCCAATAAAAAAGTGCACTGTTGGTCGTCCTATCGCCGCTGAAAAAGGAGTTTTCGTGGCTCCAGATTGTAACTAACAGCCTTGAACAGTTAAGAACTTTAGTGGAAACCAATTAAGTTTAGAAAATTTGTCATCAAGGCACGAGATAGGGTGGATTTTCATGCTAGCAATTATTTCGTAAATGGATTCGGTACTCGAATACGCTATGCAGTATTCAACGTGTTTTTGAAATAACTGTATAACTTCGCTACACAAGAACAATTTGAAGTTTAAAACTAAATACGATTTTCTTGTAGATAATAATACAGTACACTTGGAGGCTGGTTTTCAATAAATCTCAAAATGTTTGTAATTTCTTATAAATTATTAAGCAATCAGTGTTTTTTTATAGATAGTTTTTTAAGTGAATACGTTGTATAGTAATTTGTGTGAATAGCAGTGTTTGTAATTGTAATAAAAAAAATACAGAACACTTAGCTGCACTTCGTATGAGCCATACCTGTATCCGGCATCAGCATCTTCCAAAGCCAACTGCTTGAATTCCTCATACATTTTCCTAAACAAATCAAAGAAAAATAGAATTTGTGTAAACCTTTGCCGAAAATTGCCATAGCATATTAGCAAAAAAATTTCAAACTAATACAAAGTGATCCCTGAAATACTAAAACACGTGGTTCGCTTAGAAGCTGTGGAAAATTCTAGTGTGTTTCTAATGTATGTTATGKCATACAGTAAGTTAACTTACTTGTTAAAATGGGTTCTTAGGAAAAACGACCAGAAACGGAACAAAGTGTTGACTTCTTGAGACTGTCCAATGCCCAGCTTCTTTCTCTCTATAAGATGAAGAAAGGTCCATTAAAATTAGTTTTACATTTCACACCGAGCAAGGTTAGCGGTAGGCGATTGCCGACTTTAGTTCTACCTTTTATTCAATTGATCTATCTATGTATCTGTCAACGTCGTGTATAGTCCCCATGATGCTTTACGAGCTATACCACAGGGATCCCGAATGATGGTTTTGACAATCATCTAGAATTCATTGCCATGTTTATTGTGTGGTTTCAACCACTCGACACATTGCAAATTCAAGTGAATATTCATTTTATCACAACACTTACAATATTACGCTAGCTAGCGCTCTCTTTACCTTTGAGACACTTTTGATGGAATTTCGAATAGATTTGCTGCTGGAAGCCATTCTCCTTTAGTAATCTATGTGATGGATGCTCAAAGTGGGGTATTGACTGAGGTGCAGAACCAAAGCTACCACTTGCTGTRATTGTTGTTAATGGTGTGTCTGACGACTCTGAAGTACTTGAATACAACATATGATAAAATGTTAGTAATGTTTATTGTAAGCAACCATTATTATTGTTGTTGTTGTTTTCGTTTTTACTTTTTCGTTCATTTGGTTGTGAGACATCAATTGAACACAGATTAAATCTGTACGGGTCCCTGCTCCCCCATGTACCATAATTTGAATTTGAAATACATGATTTTAAAATATCAAAATAATGCGCTTATATTTGTCTATACCTTCTAGGATGAGGGAAGTCTTTAGATCCCATTATCCACCCAACATGAGATTCAACGGGAGGATTCGCACCGTATTTTGTTTTCCGCTTGTGTGGTCCCTGAAATAACAATGACACAACATTCAAATTACATTAGACTAACTCCTTAAGTCAGACACATGAAGGACTAAATTTACGACAGAGAGCAAACTGGGACTGACTTATGGAATCAGTCTAGAAATACAACGTACATGATAATCCAAATATTTGATAAGATATTTGCACTTTTTAGATTGTCTTAAAACAGAACTACAACATCATAATTTGGTGAAATGGCATGGTATRCATGCATCAGTACTTTTGGAGAACAATGCGTCCGMCATCTTGTGAGACCCGAATTACTATGTTGTGCCTTAGAACACTATTTGTAGTTGCCAAGTCAACTTATCTATCATTATATTGYATTATATTAACTTGACATTAGCTGAGAAGCTTTYAATTCCTTATATAATTTATAAAGTTATAATTTGCTGATTCGAATCCCACTTTTCAAGATGGCGGACCCATTGCTCTCCGAAWGTACTGATGTATGTATATGATGTTCATTTAGAATAATATTTATACACTTCTTTTTGTAATCACAAAATCACATTTACCAGACAACYATGACACTTTTAAACTTACATTCTGGTTCAGCTTCTCTTTGCTAAATGCAGGGAAGAATCGTGGAGCCACCTTAACATCCTTTCGTTTTGGAGTCCGTGAGCCTTGTCTGCGTGTATGCTGTAAGTGTGCTGGAGACTCCGGCACTGAGGTGGGTAGAGACCGTGAAAGCTGCTCTGATGGTAAGGTACTAGATCTTGGTCTGAAGACTTCGGCATTTGGTGAAAGTGATACATGTGGTACTGGTGGTGGCACCTCTGTCGTTGTTCTGGCGGCTTTGTCTATTTCAGTCATTGATCGTGGTCTGGCAGCTTCCAATGCATCTCGTTGAGACAAGAACTGATCTTGGCTGATGATGTCGACACGCTTCCATGATGATGTTAGTTCAAGCTGAAAGTCCACAATTTAATAACACATTACAGAAAAGACCATAACAATCTCAGTGAAGAAAAGGTGATGAAAAGGTTTGTTTGTGTTACAGTTTTTGTAACAATTGACATCATTGCCCGATTTCTTAGGTACAAGTCCCTTAATTCACACAATGGTTAGATAAGACTTCTATAGAACCAAAGATTGCACTGTAAATACAAAACTCACTAAGATTGGTGTAAATTAGATCAAATTTAAATGATTGGCAGCTTTTCAAAAATTCTAGATTTTATTTTAAATTTAGAAAAATGCGTCCAGCATTCTACACATTTCTTTGGAAATTCTAGTGTTTTTGAGAGGCTGTAAATCAYTTCAAATTGACCTGATCGACATCAAATTCAGACAGTTAGCAAGGGACTTGTACCTAGTATCCCACGCTATGAAATCAGGCAATGGCACWCAATTCCCATACATGAAACAATTACAATAATGTTGAAAGGTTTACAATAGTGTCATTGAATAAAATGTCATACCTTTCGATTAAGATAACAGTCATCACTATCGTCCCACAAGTCCTTTGGAACAAACCAGGAAAATAATGAGTCATAAATATACTTTCTTTGTTCAAAATAAGACCGCAATGTGTCATTAGCTATATTAATATATTAATAATGCTTTCACTACTAGCTGTAAATTAGTTTGCTAACATAATTAAACAAATCAGTACAAAATCCTTTCTAACCCACACAGAGATTAGCAGCAGAGCTCAAAATGACTGTGACCSTCTTGATAAAAAYAAATATTTACACAAGAAAATTAAACAAAATCATTTAACTTGAATGCTCTCTTTATTTTTAGAGAATTTTCTAATCCTGGCACATGCAGCTAAATTGAGAATTATTGGTAGAGTACAAACCCTAAAACCATGAAACAGTTCACTAATAAAATAGTGTTAAGTAATACTAAATTATGCTAATCTCTTTGGTTTTCTATTGTCTAATTTGCATTATAATATAAATGTACACCTTATAAACGCTCTGATTGGTACAAGAACATGATTTATTTTGCCAGTAAATCACGATTGTGAGCATGACTAACTTTCTATATCATAGCAATAAAGGATGGATTGCAACAAATTAAAGCACTTGGGGATGTTGGGAAAACACTCAAAAATGCCAAAATCACTCACTGCGCTCATGATTTTTTAGGCGTTTTTTGAGTTCTCCTAATGTCCCTGCTTACTTTATTTCACTGATAAATACACAATAATCCATCCTTCTTGCTTTACTATATATTCAATTTGGTTACTACTTATTCATGCTTTTAGAGTTTGCACTTTTAACTCAAAATCTCAGAAGTTAATACCTGTTCATAATAAAATAGCCCATCATTGATGACAGCTGACAATTCCTGAGTGAGTTTGGATCTCGGCACAAAGTCACCAGTTCTGTCATGTTTTTTAGGAGGAGGGGTTTGAGTGACAATCATAATTTTGTGGATATCTTGATCATCTAGATCATCATCTGAATCATCATCCCTAAAAAAAAGATGTTAAAACATCTTATTGTTTAATGTATAAAGTCAACGCTAGTCTCTCTAATAGAACCACAATGCAAAAAACACACAATCCAACTATTGAGAGGTTTCCAGCTTCTTTCATGCTCTCAAAAAACCCAAGTGTATGTGTGAATACAGTATGTACTATACACAAGGGGAATTGAATACAAAGGAAACACTAGGTTTTAATAACTGTCCCAGTTCAGTGACAGTGACTATTAAGTCACTAAATATATGCCAGAACTATTAGTGTAGGTACACCAATTTTGTGTTCTGGTTTGATTTGTATTATCCTTTATAATAATTTATTTCATTCCATTAAAATCCAGTGGAAATGCAACCAAGACAAAAAAATAGATTTGGAATCTCTAAGATTAGTATTCACAATCCTACACAAAGGACACAACTTTGGAACTATTTCACATGATCTACAACTGTTTCTTTACCAATAAGTAGAAGATGATGGCTTTATTCCTTGATTCTCTAGTTCTTCATCAAACTGAAAGTCCAGCTCTTCTTGGTCTGTGTTCTCAAACCCTGTCAGTTGTTTAGGAGTAGATGGCTTCTTTCTTTTCACTTCATGCCACTCATCCTCGGCTGGCTTTTTGACTGGACTCGGAGCTAAAAAGATAGCAGTTATCATGAATTACCAAATAAATGGATAATCAACCAATAAAACACTCTCCACTAAAAAAAAACAATGCCTAGAATGTTAGTGAGTAACAATGTGCAAATCATTATTTTAACACAAATCAATCAATCAATCAAATCACTCAAGCAATCAAATCACTCAATCAAATCACTCAAGCAATCAAATCACTCAATCCTTTTACTGAACATGTAGGGCTTGAAATAAGGGCAAGTTAACAGACATTGTCATGTCCAAAAAGAGTCAAAATCTTTGGAAGCATGGACATTTTATTATAAAAATATTGCAAGAGTAATCATACACTGTAGCCAACTGCACTCAAGACTTATTCACGTTCTGCTATCACTATCATCAATTAATGAACTAGAAGTTTTATCTCCTGGACTCAGACAATAAGCAGTACAACATATGTGAAGATATGAAGACCATGTAGTACTAGGAAATACATGGAATTGAAGTACAGGAAAGATATATAATGCACTGTATCTTTCTTATTATTTTAACACATATGGATTTGAGGATTTGTATCAGATTGAGCATCTTCTTTACTTACTTTCAGGGGCTTTARTCTCTTTAGGAGCACTAGGAGTTGAGTCAGGTTGTGATCCTTCCATTTTTTCAGTTTCATTTGCTGGTTCAGGAGCAGCTGGTTCTTCAGATTGTGGTGGTTGTGTGTATTCTATAGGTTTCTCAGCATACTCCATGGAGACTTCTACTCCACCTTGAGGAATGATGAAGTTTGGATCATATAACTCACCTATAAAGACAGGATAACCATTTGTAGAATCAGAAATAAATGCTACAAAGAGATAATTCAGAAAAAAAGAAGCAGCTAAGTTTGCAAACRTACCTGTCATTCCTTCAAATCCAGGCTGTAGTATGTATGCAGACGTGTTTTTCACTGAAAAAGGATAAGTGCAATGCTTGAAATAGGATTATAAAAAACRACAACAAACAAACGAACAACATTTCTTCCATTAAGTGTATACAATTTTGTGCACATCAACAATCTTGATATAATCTACCTGTYAGTGGTGAGTTTGGAGGAAGTGGCCACATCTTGGGATTGTCCCTCTTTCTTAATTTACCATCCACTAGTTCAACTATTTCACTGTCCTTCATTGCCTAAAAATTCAAATGTCCTCTCAGTTATGATCTTCCCCACGATTACAATTACAGGGACTGTAATTCTTAATGTCAAATATTGTTGTCTATCACTGACAAAGAAATAATTCTAGGTAACAATGCAAAAACGTAGAGGTTTTTGGGGGCAATTTGAATGCTGCCTTGACACTTAGCATTTGCATAAGTATGAGATATAATATGTGTGCTAATCATGRTGATATTTTTGGGTAAAGCTCAACAGTCTATGATTACAGGTTGTTTTTTCTGTATTTTCAAGTTTGTTATCACATACCTCAATGATTTGATTTGGATCATTGGTGAGRGCTTGCACTCTGTAAAAACTAGCAATCAATAATATTGGAAGAAATCCCTCGTCATCCATCTGAAGAAAAACATAATAAAATAGTAATTAGTGAGTTGATTAAAAAATGCATCGTCAGAGAACAAAATCCTCACTTGTCACAAACATGAGACATTTATTTATTATTTGCTTTGCTGCAGCAAAGAAAGGCAGTATTGGTATAATAACTAATCAATAATCAATTTGCACATACATGTAACAAAAACATACTAATCTTCCATGTCAATATTACCTGTTTTCTCAAGAAGAAGTCTTTCCTTAAGTTTTCTTCACTAAAATAGTATTCACTGAAGAAGAAAAAAAGAAAAAATAAACAACACACTTTTAGGATTACCATTATTACATGGGCTGCGTCAAGGGTAATTTCATGTAATTTTCGCTCTTTTTTCTTACTGTTAAACAGACTGCAAATTATTTGGATACTTTGAAATCATGTTTATTGAAAGTCATCCTAATATAATCTTTGGTTTTATGATACATTAAGGATTAAAATTTGAAATATCATTGGCCTATATATTGATATATTTCCACAAGTTAGGGGCAAGAATTTCTTCAGTTGACTCTATTTGAATGTTTACATCCCATTTCCTCGTTATTTTAGCAGAAGGACATTATTCTTTTGCTGGCCATTATTCCCAGCCCTTCCAAATGAAACAAAATTTATAAACAAAGTATTCTAGGCTTGTTAGAATAATGCCAGTGGCCTTTTTTTTGAGGTTTTCGTAGCCTTGTTTTGGTGTTTTTAAGTCTCTTCTCACTTATAACTTCAAGAGAATTTAAGATTTTTCTGTGAAACTTTCAGAGTTTATCGTTAGCTTTGTTATCTATGATCTGAGTGTGTGTTTCTTTGTCAACATTATGAATTTAAATGTAGTGATAATATTGCTAAAGCATTATGAAAATTATCAATGGTGATAAGCACCAATAGGAAAGGAGAGACTTACATTTGCTTCTTGATATACTCAAGGAGGGTTTTCTCGTCAATGGATTGATAAGCAGCTGCTGGGGAATTTTGTGCAGCATTGTAGTAATAGGTGACACCATAAGGTTGCTGCATTTGATTTTGCTGGTTTTGTTGATTTTGAAAGTAAGTTGTCCCRTCAACATATTGATAACTGCCATATTGGTAGCCTTGGTTGTACTGGAACTGCTGAGCATGTTCTGATGGATGATAACAGTTTAACTTCAATGTWCGTTTTCAAACACTAAGATTTGCATTACAGTACTTGGGTAATATTCACTCTAATTGCCTCTAAATAGGTTAAAATTCATTTCAATGAGCCAACGCYAACCAGTAAATGCTTCTCTAATCCTATGTCTTGATATATTTTCAGTCTCTATACATGGAGCATTCTTTTAAATCCATATTGAATTTTAAAAATGCCTTGTCATTTCTCTACTAAATCATAATGACAATCTAGACTACATTTCATATGTCAATTGTGTGGACAACATTTTCAAGACCATGTTGTTCAAAGCTAGATTATTGATAATCCTGGGTTAATTTTTAAAAAACCTATGCAGTTAACCATGGATTAGTGGTAATCCAGCTTTGATCAACCTGGCCCAGCTGCATATGTGGAGAAASTCAGCCATTTTGTGGGGACTTGAAATATCTGTTTACAATCACTTTCCATAGTCACAAGAGGAAATTGTAGAATCAATTCACAAACGATTTAGGGATAATTTAGAGCAAGATCTATTATATTGTATTATCTTGTTTGTATTATTTGTTTGTGATACTATAGAAGAAGGCCAGTATTGTGGTGACCCTCTCTAAACTAGTTTCAGAAATGGACAAATTTGTCCCTTGTGTTTCAAGTGAACATATCATCCAAAACATAATAAACCAGTGTTCACAAATCAGCCTGCATTTGATTATCATCTTAAAATATGAGAGAATATTTGCAAAGATTTTGTGATATTTTTGAAACTTACTTAATTACTTTTTCAAATAGAATAGCCCTAATCATAAATGCTACTTTAGAAAACAAATGAAACAAACAGAAGATTGATGAGTTATTTCTGATTTCTGGTGTACAAAGCATGTGCTATATTGTGTAAAAGATTTACATAAAAACAACACCTGTGTTAAGTACACAGATGAACAAAATTTTACAAATTGCATGAGCAAAATTGACTTAGCAATATAAAACACTTTACCTCTTGGGGAACGCTGCCTCCCTCCTCTCCCTCGTCCTCTACCACCTCCTCTGCCGCCCCTGCCTCCACGATTGCTTGAGCGTCCTTCTAAGGAGGATGTAGTTGAACCAAACCTATTATTTGGTGATTTATAACCCTTGTTTGGCACTGAGCCRTCAGGGGATTTCTTTCCACCATTTGTAGCAGTGGGTGGTTGACCCTCRGATCCATATTCTGTGCCATCGAGGCTTAATGGAACCCATTTTTGACGGGGACCAGATTGACCTTGGAAATATAGCAAAATTATTTTTGATCAATTGTTCATGCACTGCATAAGGTTTTTTACGTGGGCTTCCTGTGGAAGTCCACGTCTTAAAATGCAACTGGCGATTTCGTCGTGGTGGTGAATATTACGCTTCAAATTGGTAGCGCATCGATAGCGCATGCGTTGCAGTCTCAGTTTCCATGGAGATGTCAAAATAAACCAATCAGCGATTTTTGGTAGCGCCTGCGTTGCAGATGGACTGCAGTCTCAGAATGAAAACAAAATGGCTGACAGACGGCGGCAAAAAGTTGTCTCGTTTCAAATGGTTCTAAAATGTAGCTAAAATGCTCTAAAGAGCAGAAAATCTTACAAAATCAACTGATTACCATCCAAACGACATGGATTAAGGTATATAATTCAAGATTAGCGGATGATTCGTGCAGAAATGACTGGGCATTTTCTACCGCCGACTCGAAGAGCAGTACTTCTTCGTCACACAAGTGTTCGATGTCAAACCGGCACAAAATCTTCAAAACTAAGAAATCACATGGATATTTAAGGTTCATACTTTGACAGAAAACAATCATTCGATGGAATAAAGCATATCAAACCCCATCTGAAAAATATTGATGCCATTTTCTAAACTAACGATGTGTTTGAAGTTCAGAAAACTGCACGTGTGAGCTTTACTGAACTCTGTATACAAAATCTATATTGTGTATGAAACATTTTAATTCTCTATTGTTTGTTTTGATGATTGTTTAACTTGAAAAACTTAGACAAATCCAAAAAAAATGAACTGTCATTAGAAGGCTAAGGTATCACCTTTATGATGGCACAGAACGCCAGATTTACAAATTAATGAAAAACACCAAATAAAAAAGAACAGAAACACAAGATACAGATACATGATTCAAAATATTATTCAAAGTTATACTGCCAAGACTGTACCGTTTGTATTGTTTATGTGACCTATATGACCTATCAGATATTTTGAATAATATAGACGCTCTTGAGCGTAAAGTCGAGCTAGTTATTTTGGAAAACTGAGAAAAAAGACATGGTATCCAAAGAATTTACTTAGAGTTCAGTTCGGTAAAAAAATATGATGTAATAAATTGATAACATATTAACTTAATTCTGTCTTGACTTATTACAAACAAAGACTATCTTTTAATATTTCTCTGTACGTAGGAGTCATATTCTAAACACTGCTTCGTCTACGTTTGTATAAGCTTTATTTTCCGAGCTTTCGGATCGTTCGATCCATCATCAGGGACAAGTGATACAAATGAAATATCTAGCGGTTGAAAAAACTAAACACATCACGAAAATGCTAAATATAATAGAGCGCGCTACAAATGCGCGCGCACACAAGCTAAGAAAATTAAAAAAAGCTCGGAAAATAAAACATATACAAACGTAGACGAAGCAGTGTTTAGAAAAGACTATCTTGTTAAAATGAAACACCATTGTCACAGGAAGCCCACGTAAGCGATCCATGATCGTCTAGTTGTCCAACAGTAGATGCACCCTCTCTCTATTTCTCTAGTAAGCACTTTAATATTTGTAAATCAATAATTCTAATATTTCTGGTGAAGATGTGACAGTGAAACACAACAATACAGTACCTAAAGTGCACATGCACTTTAATGTTTTGTAAGTAAAGTTTAATGTTCCTAAAATATGGTTTGACGAAAAGAAATTCAAAAATTGAAATGGTACATGTAGTATGTTTTTGAGGGGACTAAATTTCATGTTGCAATTAATGCCAACTGTAAAATTGGCCTGTGCCATCTACAAACAAGTTTCATGAAATAGCTCGTAATCACTTAAAAGTTAGAATAATTTATGTCCACTTATATTACTCTAATAGCAGCTGGACCAGTCAAAGATTTCTAAAGCCTGCATAAGTGACTAGGCACTTTAGCTGAACACATGCATTGTAGAGCTTTACATGTTCATTACAAATAGAGAAAACTAATATTAGAGGGCTATAGTAGTCCAGCATCCCTTTCAAGGTTTTCTCATGTATGTTTTAAATTAAAAAACACATCATTACACTGTATRTATTTAAGCAAAAGTTTACTCTTATGAATTATCCTCAATCAGAATCAATATCAGTTTGTTTCCGATGTTCTAGCAATAGCTAAGCAACGGCGACTAGAATCAAAAATTGAAGTTCTCATTAACATTAWAGCCAGTTTCCAGTCTTTTGAGCAACTTATGACCTGAATTTTGTCAACGTTGTGCAGTTTTTCAACTGAAAACCATTGGTCTTTGATATATTTCTAGCTCATAAATTATAGATTCATAGATTCATAAAAAGGAATTTCTTTGTTAAGTTAGAATTTTTTSTCCTACATATTTCAATATTTAAAACTGATCGATGGAAGAAGATTAGAAATGGATATCTTTTTTATTACCTTGCTTTCAATAAGWATGAAAATAAAACTAGACTACATGAAAATGGTTGAACATGTAACATAACTGTTGCCAGCAACAGTTAAGATAAAATGATTAATATATACTTTACAAATATAGACTTATTAACATTTTGAACCTGGTCCATCAGGATCCCAAAAGTTACTAAGTTTTCTATCTTATTTACAGCGTACAATTATTTATCAGTTAGAGCAGATTTCGTATGAGTGGGACACCGTTACCGCACGGTTACCGCACAGTTACCGCACTTGGCCTGCAGAATTTTGATGAAACAATGGGGCACTAGAATTTGGTTACAGTACCATTACGGACACAGTACAGTACCGTCTGTTTCCCACTCATACGAAATCCGCTCTAATAAAAACCAATCGCCAAATGAACCAGTTCATGCTGTAAATCTTATAATATAACAATTTACAAATAGATTTTATCTTAAGCTTCAAAATTAAATKGGCAATTCTTCATTTGAAAATACATTCAGAGAACTATTTCTCGTTATACATTAATGTACAGTTTCCAAACCATGTATGTTTTTTTTATAGTTCAAATCAGACAGTGATGACAGCTTAACCATGTTTAGAATATGACTGGTGTCTACTTTAGGATTGATACAAAACAATAAGATAGAATTATAGACATAAAATAGAATTAACAGCATTATTTCAGTAATTATTATTTAATCAATACAAAAAAAAAACATTGGAATAACAATTCCTTCTTAAAATACACAGATTTKATTCCCTGAAAAGGCCAGCAGTGGACCTATTTCTCAAACTTGTTAATAATTTAAGCACACAGTATGGATCCTTTTCTTCCACTGATATAACAATGGACTAATATATTTTCACTGCAGTGTGTGATACAAAAGACTTTAAGATGATACAATTAAAGTTATACCATAGTTTAAGTCACTAGAAGATTGATTAAGTCAGATTATAATGGGAAAACATGTAATTTCTATCTTTTAAAAATATATAAATTTAAACTGTTGCCTGGAAACCCTGTTTATTAACATTATACATATGATCACTTCAATAAACAATGCTAGCTGATTTTTTTTTCCTCGCAAAAATACTATTTTTTTCTACTTTTTACGTATYTTTAGATCTTTAGACACATTAGTAYATGTTCATGGAATCAATCATCCATAAAAATGTACTATAGTATTAATAGATAACAAATATTCCACTTGTACACAAAGAAGTATTTTGTTTCATACAATGTTTTAAATAATAAACCATACAATATGAAAAATACATTGAATTTTTATGTACCATTTCAACCGACGTTTATAAGTTATATTTGTATTTGAGAGACTGATGTTTCAATACAATTTCTGAGGATTTATAGTTTTGAAAGATGAAATTGAAGGGAAAGACCATCTGATCAAATACATCCAGGCTGGACTAATACAATTTTCAAGAATTCTAAACAAATACAACCTTACATTCAACAAAAAAAATGGCATTTTTTCAAGCAAACGAAAWAATAATAATAATTTTGAATGTTTTTCCTTAATTTTGTAATAGATCAAATTTCTGGGAGACAAGTGAAATTTTATAAATTGTACAATTATTGTGGACTTGGTTGAATTAAGCTATTTTGCAATTCAGTTTTAGCGAGGATCTAATCACTAAATGGCCAAACTCGTAGTAACACGTCAGACCTAGTATATTGAACAGTGAAAGCCCCATTATGTAGAAAATCATTGATTGGTGCAACTACGATGGGAAAACCGTACAAAATTTCATTCTTATATMTTTGTTGTACCATATACCAATCTTTATACGATAGATAGTATTTATTAACAAAGTTCGAATGCAATGATAATTAAAAAAATATCGACAAGCAGGGAAGAGGCAAGATRCTATTTTTAGWCAAGCATACCTTTCTTTTTTGGCGTGCCTTTATCGGTTTTTGATTCCTCCGGCAACTTCTGCTCATTTTCAGCGTTTTCTTTCTTTTGAACAGGAGGCTATATTATTAAACAAAAAAGACACAGTCATATAATGATGATGAATTATAAATTGCAATAAAATCAACGATGGCCAATAGACACATTTTGAAGGTGGCTACATGTGTACTTCACTCTTACTTTTGCCGGATCCTTTGGGCCAGACGTGGCTAGTTCTCCCGGTGTTGGCCAGTTTGTAATGTCGTTAAATTCATTACCCTAGTAGTAATAGCAKGGATATGTTCAATTATCTATGAACCGCAAAATCTATATTCTCTCACAGCTTCAGACATACCTTAGGTTTACGTTTACTGTTGGCCTTTGGTGCCACCGGTTGCTCTGGCTCAGCTGTGGATTACAAGTGCACAATCGGTTGAGAAAGGAACTRTAGCATTGTCACAGTGTAAGTGTATAATAACAATCTACCGTTTTCTGTTGTTTGCTTCAAATGCCGAGTCCATGGATTCGTTGTAGGGGGAGGTGCGAGGCCAATGTTTGTGCCCTTTTCGGGTTTCTCCTTGGTGAGGGTCATTTCGTCCACTGACTGATCCTTTTCTGTTTCCCCGTGATTCTCTTTGTCAGTACTATTGAGCACATCATTTTGGATGTTCCTGACAGTTGGTTCTTCCTTGGTCAAGTCAGTATCAGTTTTAGAGCTGCTCTCAACCTCAGTCATAATAGTCCTCGCAACGTGTGACTACGACGTGGTTCAGTCAAACTAACCCTTCCGCAAGGAACCTTCTACCGACTAACAACCCTGAAAACCCACACACCAGTACTCGTTGGCCTTTCAGTTTGTGTCTAGGAAGGTTTCTTGCAGCCTTCAACGGTMAGTAAAGCGAGCAACACGAAAGAAAACAAGGTTTTTCTTCAATACTTCGCCATGTGGTTTTGTATTAGAAAGAGAGGTCTCTTCAGATGCAAACTCGGCTACTTGACATGCGCGCGTTTCTCGTCGGAAGAATTTCGTAAGCCAATCAAAACTCGGAAAGAACAATAGTTTCCGAATCGTTGACCCGAAGCTGTTCAAATAAACTAGTTGTGGAAGTTTACCAAAAAGATACATTTTTTTTTCATTTTTTATTTTGCATAAGAAAGAAAAAAATGTTTAATTCTAAAATAACAAAACTATATAACAGTGAAATTTCATGCGAGATTTTAAAAAGTTATGGACTGACCGGATAACGTAGCTGGCAGGTAAATTTACTTTATAAACTGATTTTCACGTCTACTCGATAAAAGCAAACAAGCGAAACAGAATAAATATTAAGAACAAGAAAACGAAAAAATTTTCAAAAATTATATTGACCGAGTTTGATTCTACGCTCCTCGTGCGCTTTGACATGCATTCGGGTAAGTATTCCGCAAGAATGACGCTGTCCACCGTGGCCGATAGTTATCTCTCGCACTCTCTTTAGTAACAATTAAGTCCCGGTTCTAACGTGGATTTTGACATGTATCAATGCAAATGAGTTGATTACGAGCTGGAACGAACGAATGCAATATTTGCAGCTGAACTCAGCACATGTGAGATTGGCGGCGGAGAGTGAAATGCGCTGGCTGTAATGCATTACTGCAACTCGGTCGTTTATTAGTTTATATAGTTGGTTTTCGTTCAAAAATGCGCAGATTAATATTAATCCATGGTAACAATAGAAACAAAAGAACAACGATTAGTGGACTGTAATTCAATTATAAAGACAGGTGGGTTTGGAGTTTAAACATTATTTCCATTACTCAATTTTAAAACCCCGTTTGCAATGAGTTAAATTAACTTTTATGCAAATACTACGGTACAACCTGAATCGAACAAGCCRGTATTAATGTATTTTGGACCCCGTCAATAAGAACTCAAGATGACGGGAATATATATCTGTACCCGCAATTTTTACGTTTTTTCCCCGGTAACGGGTTAGAACACGTGCACGAGCCGGCCATTTCGTAAACAGTATGAACGTCCGAAATTCTAGTGTCAATCCCATAAATTTTACTGTGTAAAATCTTATTTCACAAAGTGTTTCAACGTGTATAAGTGTTGGAAAGCGCTTGTTTAGGAAAACCAACACATTATACCTGTGGACGCAAAAATTTGTGCATCCTCATAAAGGATACAGAAATGTCCGGCACCGTGTGGACAAGCGTCGCTGGCTGACCCGATCAGATAGAATACAAGTTAAGTTAATTGCAAATAGGATCAATCTTTATGATGTACATCTAAAAGACAAACTGTTATATATAGAAGAGAAAAATAGATCTTTTGTTGTCCTATAGAAAGAAAGGATAATTTAAGAAGACAAAAGAAAGCGTTCAACCTGAGTTATCTTCTTGTTTTTGAAATAAATCCTTTTTAATAGAAAGTACAATTTTTCTATGATCAAGTTTTTGTAAGTCTAAAGCCCGGTTCAAACGTCAATCTTTTGCCGCGTCCAATGTAATTGCTAGGCATGCACTTCAGCGAGAAGTTTGCAACATCAGTTGATAACGGATTAACTGGACCAAAATCTAGCAATGCCAATAAAATGGTCATAAACCCATCCTGCAATTGGATTAGATCTGACAAAATATCAACGTTTGAACCGGGCCTCCACTATTGTACTGTAGAAAGTGAGTTAGTCGTATGGGTCGTGTGAGTGCATGAGTGAAAATACGGTGATTCAGTCACTGGGACAGCCTCCACAGCTAGATGCATTAATAGCATTATCAGTTTCCTTTATATATCTGAAAAAGAGTGAATRTGAATCTGGTAAAGCTACCGCGTAATACGAATTTATATTTCAATATTTTTCCTCACAAAACACTTCAATCCCGGCAATACCTGTATGGCTATTTTCAGCGCGTTTATTTTTTCCCAGTTACGCATGCTCTTGTGTTTTGAGATTGCAGGTTGTTGAGATATAGGACTGCTCATTGGTCAAGATGGCTACGATGAGCCACCTGTCTAAGCATGCATGCTGCTTTTGATAGAAAGAAATTCAAACATGGTGTACTAAACAAACCCGTCGTTGAATGGATCGGACAGGTCGTGAAAAAGTCTAGTCGTGTCGATTGAACCAATCACAGTGTTACTTTTAAACAAACGTACGCCGAAGKCGATCCTCGACGCGCGGTCTCGGCCCTAGAAAACTAGACGAATCGAAAAGGATTCTGAATAAAAAGTATATCGATATCATTGTTATCGAAGTAAGCCCAGGGGGACAAAACGTAAAKACATGATAGCGGTAATAATTACGACACATAATTATCAARACGGGACCATTGTTGGTGGTTTTGGGGGGAGGGGTGTAGAGGGATCTGCAYCATCTCAAGGACCCAACCTAGAAAAACTATGCCCTCGCCTCAAATATCTTCCCAAAATTGATATTGTAAATGCTTTTAAGATAAGTGCCATATAGTTTTCGACAGTTTGTGACGAGAAATCAAGTCTACAGTTTTCAATTTCAAAACTTCCCAAAATTCCGCCGATAAAAAAAATTATTGAAGCCCATACTTGATTTTACTAATTATACTTTCGACCAGCGGCATTGAAGTATATCAATCGAGTAATCTTGCTTAACCAATCATTGCGCAGCGCTCTTTTYGAGGGGGGCATTATCTATGATAGAGGTGGCGAGGAAGATCAAATGGGATAACAATAGTTTCACATATTTTTATCTTTATTCATTTCATTGTATATTCATGAAGATGCAACATCTACTATCATCACTCTGTAACTCTTTTTGCATATAATTAATAACGTATCTGATTCCCCATATTAGCCCCAGAATATAAATAGTACTACGTAATATTCCGGCCTAAATACACATGGGCGATGAATTTGTATTATGAAAAATTTGAATAAAAATTTATGAACTTTATCGTTTCTGATGCGCATGCAAAATGTTTATGCATTCAAGCTTTAAGCTCGTGGGCGCGTCACTTTCGTCCGATGTTATCTTTGAGAAACAGTTTTCTATTTTGGCTCGGCCTCATTGTCTAATACCTGATAGTCCGTTTACCCGATTATATTTCGTGTCAGCGTATAATATGCAGCTTTCAAATATGGCTTAACCTACCGATAAMGCAATTTAAATTGTGTTGCAGTAGCAATAATAACGAAGTCTTTGAGATCTACAATCGTTGCCAAAAACCTTGGACCACAGTTTTAAACTTAGCTACTTTTAGCATCACCATTTAAGAAATGCATCCCCCTTGACACCATAAAGGCAATGTTGCGTGGAAATGGTCGCAAAGTGAGTCATTTTTGCGACTGTCCAAACGACAAAAGCATCCAAGGTCACTGGCAACATTGATCAAGGGGTATGGGGGGACAAGTATGAGAGACACGAATATAGTTGTACACATTGTACAAAAAAACCGCTACGGTCCAAGGTATTTTGTCAACGATTGTCAGTAAATAATACGAAGTTGCATTCATATTTTAGCTTAATTATCAACTACAACCTAGCGAGTTCCCGCGMATAATCGCCCCCATACATCAGTTATAATTCTCATCATGCGAAAAGATGTGGTTATTTCTACACTTCTGTAACTTTACGGAAAGTTGGAACTTCTGATACAGCAAAGGGACACCTCCCTAAAGAGTTATTTGAGATCTGCTCCTTGGGTTCACTATAACTCGCTGCACAATTTGTTTGGGTATTCCACTGGTTGAAGGTATTGCTTTCTGCGAWGTTGCTCACAGGTATTCGAGGTTCATACTTGGGGTCTCTCGTCAGGAAATACGTTATCATTGGTTCAACTCGGCCTTTCATGTGCACTGGACCACGTTTTTCGAACACAAAACTGGGGTCATGGCATACAGGCTCCTGAAGACATCTGAGATGAAAAAAAGGCAAATTATTTCTTTTGTGCATAGTACTACTAAAATGTAGATTGACAACTTAATTGACTCCCAGAGATATGAACGAGAAGGGAAGCACTTCAGTGCCGGGCGGATCCAGCAATTTTCAAAAGGGAAGGCCGTCGGCAAAAATGACGGGATTTTCGAGGGAATTTGCCTTTGCTCATAAACTCGAAAGTGCAAATGATAAATAAAAATGACAGTTAAATGTGCAAATTGTTTTGAGATTTATTTTATTCTAAAATGTTTTCTTGTTGCGTTTTTTTTATGTTTTTGTTCAGCAAAAGAAGGGCTGGGGCCTCTTCGGCTCCCCACCCCTAAATCCGCCCCTGTAATTTATGGAGAACCTACCAGATGACTTTATCAGCTAGAGAGGTTACTAGAGARGACTATATGACTAAGGGGTATAGATAGAATTAATAGAACATATCTGAGTTGAAAAGACCTTCATGAAGAAGCTACCAAAGATACTGGTGAGAGTAGAGGACTACATTACTCATGGTTACAACTAGATTTTTACGAAATTGTCATATTTCATTTTATTGACTTAGATGGAGGGGACTCCAAAAATGGATAAGGGACTGGAAAATATTTTGAAGTGATTGGGGTGGGATGTGACCCCTGTGYWTGCTCCTGTAACTATTTTCATACCTGTGTGTAAATTCTGTGATGTTAACTTTGTTGGGTGCACCTGTTGTTTCTGTGCGACTTGTCAGATTCACCGTGTTTCCAAATAGACAATAACGAGGGGTCTTGTGTCCAAGAACTCCAGCAACAACCTCACCAGAGTGGATACCAATCCTTATCTAATCAAAAMAACTACTGATTAGTAAAGCTGATAAGCATAATTTAGCACCTTTTTTGGTCAATTTAAGTTACAAAAGTGAATRAAGTGAGTTTCCTCTAGTGTCTACAGCAGTTATTATGGAGTTTACCTCAACATTTTCTCCTTTGTGCTTGATATGCTGAATGACACTTATCATRTCTAAAGCCATTTTACAGACRCTTCTGGCRTGCCAACTACACTTTTCAGGAAGACCACTGACTGCCATGTATTTGTCTCCTACTGTTTCTACCTGAGAGAATGTAAGGAACTGTTTAAATACAACTCTATGTAAGCACGCTATCRTATACAACAGTTGTAGAGKAATTGAAAATGTCTAGTAAAGACGAAACTAGTTTTCCTTGAACAAATCTTGTGTTTTCTGTGCGTCGAAGGAGGGATAACAGTTATTTGACATCCTCTAAAATGAAACACTCTATGTCTTTCTAAACAATGTGGGATAATCAAGCTGCCAATGGCAACATAACTCAGAGATTATGAGAGCTGCTTTTGCAAGGAGATAYTCGAGAAGCTCCTTGTAAGCTTACGTTTTCACTGACTCTTTCTAATTGTCAACATGAATTTCTCGAAAAAAAAAAGAAACAGGTAGACTGTGAAGATGAATTTCCAGCAGGTAATGATGAATTAATAAGTCAAAAGATAGCAGTGTAGTACTTTAACAAGGCAGTTTACAGGAAAGTGAGTGAGTGACTGAGTGACTGACAGATCATTCCCCTACAATAACTCTTCGATTGCTAACGCAATCTCCGTGTTTATATTTTCTGTCTGAAGCGATCCTGTTAATATGACCACTTTACAATGGCAAGAATAACAACAGCTCAAACTTTTAAACTTTTGGAGCAGCTCAAATTGCTATGAGTTAAGTGTGAATTAAAAATATTTTGTGAGATCTTCGTCCATGATGGTTGAATCATTGAATTGTATGATGAACCTTAAATACAGATTAAATCCTGATGAGTTGTATATCAGAATGTATAGTGCTGATATTTTATTCATCAGTGGTTTATCTCATCTAAATCTGGTTGCATCTCAAACTGTATGTCAGTGTCAAGTGTTAATATTGCTTTCTGTAAATTGGAGTGGAGTTATAGAAGCTGTTCATAGAGTCTCACAAGTCTTAAGGTGCCAAGGAATCTCAATCTATAAACCACTCATATATGCCTGCCTGAGCAGATCAAAAGATTTTTAGCTATTAAAATAGTGTATAGGTTGAGAATAAGCAGCTGTTTTTCTCTCTTTGCTACTACTGTCAGTAAATAACATCTGTGGTTGACCAATAGAGATCAGCAAGTATTAATTGGTTAACCAAAGTTTTTGATTAATGCTGACCTTTTAATGTTTTATTTCACAACGATTATATAAAGCGGGTCTTTACAGTACAGTAATCTGATTCTAAMAATAATATAAAATCAATGCATAGCATACTTAAAGAGGTCAAAAGTTCTAATTCCAAGTCAAGAGTTAAAAAAAATCCATTTTTATAATCAAAAGATCCCAGCTGTTTCCATTTAAATGTCAATCCCATTCCCATTACATTCTTAAGGCAAAAACCCAACTACATTGAAACAAATACCATAGCYATTCCAGTTCTCATTTTATCTGGAATGGCTTTCTAAACCTGTGCGGTCCTCTCCATATCTGCCTTTATATCAGACAAAGGAGCATGGTCATTTACGTTACTTGAATAATAAATATTACCTTGTATACATCATTGATGGCAGGRTCTGTCAGCATGTCAAAATTGGTGTAAATATTGCTAAGSAGTAGCACAATGTCCATTGGTTTAGAATTTTTGCAGACTGTTGCAAAATCGACAATGCCACTGAAGAGCAATGTYACCACTTCAACTTTCTCTGATTGGATGGGCCTCTTGTGCCGCAGTTCATTGGCCACAGATGGGGGTAGCACAGAATACAGCAGTTGATCAGTAAGCTGTTTCTTTTCTGCAAGTGCATTGTGTGTCTGTCGTAGCTTGTCATTGAGGATCTCTAGTTCCTGTGTGAGAGCATACTCAGCCTTGAATTGTTCAGACAGAAGAATCAGATCTTTTGTTGCATCATGTATAGGGATGTCACTCAGGTACAACCCAAGGGCACGCAGGTCATCCAAGTTGCCAAGACTTGGAGAACACARGAACAGCATACTTTCAGACTCAGCTATGTAAACCATTTGTCCTTTGAGTCGCAAAGACACCACTTCATTAAAATCACTGTCATGCCTTTGATTGGTCTGGTCATTTTCCTGGCCGTTAAAGTTGTTTTCAAAGTTGTTGTCCATGTTGTTRTTGTTGTCATTGCTGTTATTGATGTGGTTGTTGACATTGTTGTCATTCCCAGGAGAWATTATTTTYCCTTGAAAAGATTTTAACACAAAAACAGTGTTGATATGAGCCAATATGGAATCAAAAGCAAAATTCATCTGTGGTCGAATAAGCTCAAATATATCTGTGATTGCCACATGCCTGTCTTCATTTAAATCTACCACAATGCGCCTGACTGCTGAGCCTGCTTGGGTAATTCTGAGATCCCGACCAAACATCAAATGAAATGGAAATGCTGCACAGAATGTTGCAGGGGATATCTTGGGTTCGTTTGACAAATGAAATGAGTCTCTGATTGGATCAAAGGGCTTCACTTGGAGATGACATCGGTTGTCACGTTGGTCTATTTCTTTGATTACAAATTGTACATGATCTCCATCACTTTCTTTTTCTTTGTAAATTTCGACACTTATCTCTGTATCGAGAAGTTTGCGCGCTACGGCTTTTACAATTCCAACGACAATTGGCTCTAAACCATCTCTTTTTGAGTAGTAATGCAAAATAAGGGCGCCGTCAGATTCTCGATCAGAAACACGAAATGAAGGAGCTTCCATTCCTGGGTAAATGGCACCCAAGTGATCGTGAAGGGCATCTAAATTGCAGATGAAATCACGGAGTGTTCCTCCGAGAACTTGAAGGATTCGGTCATAGCCAGACTCTTGGCAGAAGTCGAAAAACAATTCCCCAAACTTCTCCAGTATTGTGGCGGGTTCGATCCCTAAATTTCATAACAAATGTCATTAGTTCTAGTTGGTCGTGACACATCGATCTGCTCGCGCTGCAAGACGTCTTGTCCATCCTTCACGTTTATACTATATGTCGAGAAGATAGCTTTGATAGGGAATGACAAATACGACATGAATAGAAACGCGAAATTGATTTCATACGAGTAAGACAATAATATCATACCCAACACCTCGCTTGCCGCACCAACCAGCGAGTATGTTATGTCGTCGTTGTAAACTATTCTTTGTAAGAAATGTCCTTCGATGTTAAGATCAACTTTTTTCCTACCGCGAAAAAAATAAAAATGGAATGAAGAAATATACAAACTGACTAAGAAAACTTCAATACCTACTTAATTTCCTCCCATTTTGCCTCGCCGAAATTTCGAACGACGAGAAGTTCCAAAGCGTGGTTCACGAAGCCATACTATAAAGAAATTGAAACGTGGACGTTACAGCCCTTAGACACAAATRGAAATATTRAACAACTTACCATGGCTTCCACTTGTTTCTTCCAATATTTAGAGCATCGAAAATTGTTCAGGAAGGCAAATCCATCGCCTACTATAATACCAAAACAAACCGCTCTTCAGAGAGACCGCTAAAACTGGAAGCCGATTGGTTGCTCTGTGACATGTCAACATCATCGATTCAAGAGGCTCGATGTACATATCCAATGAGATGAGAAAAAAGCAATTAAAAACAAATTGTTTGTCTTTGTCACGAAACAGMCCACGGAGAAAAATGTAGTCCTGCAGAGATACAACAATTGAAAAAAATAAATCAAATATTGAGTTAATCGTCAGTACATGTAAGCATTTGCATGGTTCAAAATTCGGCCATCAATGATGATTTTTGACATTTGTGGTGCCGAWGAGCAGATGTGACCAACTGATACCGCCAGAAGTTAGCATTTTCAAGAGAATTGTATATTGTGTTTCATCTTACTTTTCATCTTTCCATCTTTTTTACATAAAGCACAGGAATCCCATAAAATGTGCAAGTCAAAAGTAAAGACAAGACCAATCTCGCTCCAGTCTAGGTGTTGTTATTCTTTGCACTTTCGGTATTTTTTCTTAAAAGAAAATAATGAAGTTTCTTACCTTTAAAATAATGCTAAGCATTGTATTGTTAACCAACGAACCAGTTGGTATTCGTAAAGAATGACAAAATCTTTTGGGGTTGTTTTGCATGTTTTGGGATCGCTGTGTAAAAGGCGGGAAAATCGACGCGTGCGCGTTCATTGTAAAAAAGGAATCCTGGGACTTCGCGCGCTTGATTCAACGTAACAAAGCTCCTTGACTACTAATCATTTGTTAGAATTGTTTGGATCTTTGGACTCTTGTCTGTGTGTTTTTCCTCAACCAGTTTGAGAAAGGTTAGTCAGTTTATTCTTTTTGTATAGCTGAGCTTTGCCCTGCATTTTGATTTGAATTTTCTGGAGTATAGAATTGAATTTCGGACTGAACAGTGGTTAACACTAATATTATAACTTACTTTCCACGTTTGTAGTTCTTGAACTTTAGCAGCATAATTTCGAAGCAAACTACTCTAGAATCTCAGATGTGTTCTTTCATTTTTCATATCTTCTTCTCAATTGAGTTAATTTTAAATTGAAAAGTCTATAGCTTTTGAATTTTTACGTCCACCAAAGGTCAAGTAAACATGCACTTTTAGTACTCTTGAAGCATGCGCTAGCGCCTATAATAATCTACTCACGTGATATGTGTACAAACTTTAAAAGCTTATACACCCTTTTGATAAGTCCCATGGTATTGTTTTCTCTGCACTTGACGTCAAATTTATTCTTTTGAAACTTTTACAATACAAAAGGAATTCAAAAGAATAAATTTGACGTCAAGTGCGGAGGACGTAATACCTCGGGACTTATTAAAAGGGTGTATAGCCATGAATAAGATGTACCAGGGACGTCCCTGGATGTACTTAATATATATGTTTCACACTCGCCACTCAAAAATATCAATTAAAAAAAAGAGGCTCTAGTTGCTTGTGGAACATAAGGGGGAAAGGAGGTATTTGTTTTGACACTTTATTATTGGTTTTTCATAGTATATAAGTTTTTTATGCTTTCATTCAAAGCTGATAACTGCTGTCCTATTTTACAATGTACTGACTCTACAGTGCACTGGAAAGGTGCACTGGAAAAATAAGCCCAGTAGATTTATAAATGTGTTCAGTAATGGCATAACTATTTGCATTCTCCTCATATTCATATATATGGCTAACCCATGTGTTTCCTAAGTCAAAAGGCCAAATGCCTTTTCGGAATACAGGGTTCACCTCAACTTTGAGAAAATACTTTATGAAGGCTATTTTATTGACATCATTTTTTTTGGGGGGGGGAGGGGGGTGTTTTTTTGTGTAACCCAGTCTTTTCTCATACAACAATGTTCATTAACTTTGTACTGGAAAGTGTCTTCTGGAAGTTTTAAGGTTTGATTGGTATTGAGCGTATGTACAATCCTTGATTTTATATAATATATATATAGAATTTTTTTGATATGAATATGAAACCATACAATCATGCAGCGTTGACAGAAGTAGAATCTGTRTAAATAATATATTAGCTGATACCGTAGTATAATGTGAATGGATTATGATTGTTGGGGTCGATMGGGTACTGGGAAATGGGGTTGGTAAATCAGCTCAGAAAAATTGTCTAAATCCACCAGCCCTTAGCCCAACAAAATTGGTAGGCTGCAAAGGAGACTACCAGCTCCTCAAATCCAAGTTTTTTTTTCAGTTTTGAGCAACCTGCAAAACTCACAGTTCAAAATATCAGAAACCTGCAATTATATAAAATGACAGAATCAGCTGATTCTAAACCCCAATGTCTTTCCATTACTTCTCCTTTTTGRTGCCAATATTTTCAAATAATCCATTTCAGCTCTTATAACTAATTATGGTGATATTGGTATAAAAAAGAAAGAAGCATGACATTGTYCAAGACAAGCTATACTATGAACACTATGTATTATTCTTTTCTGACAAAATATATGTTATCATTGGTTCTTTCTTTCCCTTCATGACCACTGGGCCCCTCCTCTTGAAAACAAATCTTTCACTTGGTTGACAAAGAAGACACCTACAATAAAAAAATGAAAATCACATATAAACTTTAGTTAAAAAGAATGTAAATGTGAATGGAAAACTAAGTACAAGTGTCTGAAAAGAAAAGTTTTAAATGAAAAGATGAAACACTCTATGGTCACTGTATTATAATATTTTTTTAAGAATGACGAAATTGAAATATTCTTCTACATGTGCATGCTAATACATGTAATGGTAGTTAATAAATATCAAAAATTTTGATCTTATATACAGGCATTCTGATATAGTGCGGCAAAAAAATGAAAATTTTTTAACATCAAATTATGCAGCACAAATGTTCAATTATGYGGCAAAAATTCACGATTATGCGGTAAATTGCGCAATATTGCGAAATCTTTTTCTCATGCTTATTTTAATTTTTTGGCACATAAAAACATTTCATTTACGATTCTATGGTTTTTAGTGTTTATCTAATTAAAACAGTCTCGGCCATGAAACTAGCACCAGTTCACAGACTTTGCTGTTGAGCAAGTAACGCCTTGTAGATAAATTACGMAATCATATTAGGCACGTTTGTTTTGATCGAATATTCGATGGTTTTTCAAATATTTTCCACTCAAAAAAGGTTGTATCGATAAATTCTAAAATGAAATAGACAGAACTTAATTTATTTTTAATGGGAAACATGTTTTTGTTTCAAAAACTATGCAATTTTGGACTAATTATGCAATTTTTATCTTTTATGGGAAAAAAATGTGATTTTTAGGTGATTATGAGAAATCTCATCATCGCACTATATCAGAATGCCTGTATATACAAAATATACAGATCTGATCGTTCAAATCACCTTATTTTGTTTCTCTTTTTCTTTGTGTATTTTTAATTAATTTTAATTTTTCTGAAACCATAAAAATTATATATTTTTTATACCTGTAAGCATACTCAGATACATTGATCTTTCCTTTGAGTCCAGTAGTCTCAGTACGGCTGGTCAGATTGACTGTGTTACCAAATAAGCAATATCGAGGTTTTTTCTGCCCTACAACACCTGCCACAACCTCACCTGAATGGATCCCCACAGTTACCTAATAGAAAGGAAATACACCGTGGACTTTAATTATTAAAGTCATCAGATGCTAAAAGGTCTCTACTCTATGAGATTAACGCTATGATAGGTTTGATTTTCACACTAAAATAATTCAAACCTGCAGTTGTTGGATTCCCTTAGCATTAACTCCYTTAATGATGTTCATCATGTCCAAGGCAAGGTTTGCAATATTAGAACCATGATTTTCACATTTGGTTGGCAGGCCACTTACAGCCATGTACTTGTCACCAACAGTTTCAACCTATGTAGATTTAATAGTGGGTTGAATAAGGGGAAAATATTAAAAAGTATAATAACTACATGTGACCTTTAAACTAGCATATATCATTGGTAATGAATTAATACTCATACCTTATAGACTTCATCATTATTATCTGTCAAACTATCAAACTTGATATAAACCTCATTGAGAAGTTCAACAATTTCCATTGGCTCACTTATCTGGTTGCAATAACTTGTGAAGTTCACTATCCCACTGAACAAAATAGTCACTATCTCATACTTGTTAGCCATGACTGGTTTTCTTAGGCGTAAATCATTTGCAACTGATGCAGGTAGGATGCTATAGAGCAACCTATCAGTGAGCTGCTGCTCATTCTGAAGCTCTCTTGAAGTCTGTTGAAGTTTGTCTGTCAAAATTTCTAGCCTTTGTGAAAGTTTAAACTCGGCATTATGTTGCTCAGACAATAAAATCAAGTCTCTTGTAGCATCATGGATGGGAATGTCACTGAGATACAGACCTGAAAGTAAAAGARGTTTTATTCTGTAAATGTTTATAATATGTAATATGACAACGGCTTTAAATTCTGTTCAAATTTCATAGAGTTCACATAATTGAAAAAAGAAAAAACTAGAAACAGTTAATAGTTTTAATGTAGGATGTACTTTATAATGAAATACTGACTGCTTTTTGAGCTAAAGTACCACAAACTGTCTTATGGGCATTGTGTACATGCTGGGTTCATATTGTCAAGAATACATTAATTGCACATACCTTTTTCATTCAAACCATCAAGATTGACAACACTAGGAGAGGCTAGAAACACAATGCTGTCACATTCTGGAAGGTGGAGCATTTGTCCCCTGAATCGCATTGAGGGTGATTCTAATGTGCCAAAGTCATCTTCTGTGACTGTAGTAAGTGAAGATGAGTCAAGTAGACCTTCTTTTGTCTTGACGACATAGACTTTGTTGATGAAGTCTAATATATTGTCRAAAGTTAGCTCGATTGGAGGTCGAATGCTGTCAAATACATCTTGGAATTTTGATTTCCCAATCTTGACAGCTGGTAACACTCTACACACAGATATTCCTGCTTGGTAGATGACCATTTTGTGATCAAACATAACATGAAATGGACAAGCACGGCAGAAGGTGATGTTGTTCATCCGTGATCCCAAAGTTACCATGCTTAATTCTTGCTCTTTTAATGCAATTTCTTTGTTTTGTGGAATAATGTATTTGAGGTCTTCATCATTCTGAGCTAGTACCAGTATCTTTGCCCAAGAGTTGTCTGGACCAATTGTTGAAAGCACTTTGACATTTACTGCCACTCCAAACATTTTATCAGCTACGGCTTTGACAAGACCAACTACAAGATATTCAAGTCCTGCACGTTCTGAATTGTAGTGAATCTCTAGTCTCCGGCCATACTTGCTCTCCTTTGCTCTAAAAGATGGAGGGCGCATGCCGGGGTATAACAGCAACATTTGCTCATGCAAGCCATCAAGAGAATTGAAGAACTCCTTCATAGTTCCACCCAGTGCATGCAACATTGTATCATATCCAGACAGCTGACAGTGCTCAAAAAAATTTGTACCAAATTTCTCCAAAATGAAGTTCTTGGAAACACCTAAAATCAAAAATAAAGTTAGCATTTGTGGACCTAATGCTATGGGGTTCAAAAGGATTTTGCAGAAATTACTGTTTTTTTCTTTCAAATGGTATTTAATAATGACAAAAAAATCTGTCTAGACCATAGAATAATATCAGGTTCAATATCTTTATTGTTGCTTAGAGGATTAACATTTCCACTTCAGCGGTTCAGTCTATCAAGAGATTGAAGTTATTAAAACTACACAATTAATGTGTTTTCTGCTGTGAATCGCCCTGCATTCATGCATGGTAAAGCCTCTATTAGTGCTGATCATATCGGCAATAGTGGTATAAAAGTTATCTGTAGCGCTGATGAACCTAAYGCCTAATATAGACACAGTGTAAGTAGTCGGTTTACAGCTGTTTATCTTTCAGGTTTTTTTATAGAAAGCTTCATGAATTGCTATCTAAAAATACAGCATTATCATGGAAATTATTTCCGATAGATAAGTGTATTTTTTTTCTTGCATTTTTAGACCGATTAACATTTGAAAAATGCGGATAAGATTCGTTTGAAGCTATGAATAGGTGAAGATATAATACATAGTTCTGTTGATTAGCTTGTGGACTATCCTACCTAAAACATCAACCGCGATGTTAAGCAAATCCGTCGTGTTTTGATCATCGTATATCCTTCTTTCATTAAATCCATGCTCGTCACCAAGATCGATGTTGGCCTTTTTTCTGAAATAAGTAAAACCAGAATGTCACCTTCTCCTTAATTCACAATTTTAACATAATTTGCCACAGAGCTCGTTACAGCGACTTACAATATATCTTTCCAAACATCGAAACCGTAATCCCGAACCACCATATCTTGAAGAGCGCGATTGATGAATCCGTACATATTGCTATACTGTGAATGACTTTACGAATACTATCAATGCATGCAAGCCACCGGAGTAGGCAAGGGATGAGGACAGAATTCAGCGAATGGCTGAGACGCTCATTGTAATTCCAAGCGTCAATACAATTTATTATGGTGGCATCGAGTTGCACCTTTTCACGATCAATATTGATCGTCCCCATTCCCCCAGTCTCGAACGGACGGAAGTCCATCGCGCGGCCTGCAATTAGATAGATCGATACCAAAATCCCAGTAGTATATTGCCTGCTATTTGAAATAGGGATTGGATAAGAAATGATTTCCAATATTCACTTGTGTATTGTTTTCTTCATGGAGATATGTAGAATTTCTTTATCTAAATGATTACCTTTTGATAATGTCTCCTAAGTTTAATTACAAACTAAAATATGAATATCGGTCTCTTTATTCATTGGCGGCATTTTGTCTTGTTGTCAAACAATAAACCTAATTACACCAATTTCGTAAAAGGATATTGTTTAAGAAATGTCAAATTAAAATTGTTTTTTTTTATTTCAACAAATATTTTACTCAGTGTTTTGTGGGGTTACTTTGTTTTTGGTTATTTTGGTGGTCTATTATTTCTCGTATATTTTTTTATCGGTCCCATTCTATCCTGTTATTATTAGCTACCTCATTAAGTGTTCGCGGTTTTATTAAAGTAATAATGTTTGGTCTCTGTGAAAATTGTAAAAATATTCTTTCGAATCACAATAATAATCAGATGAGTAAACACTTAGTAGTTTTGCGATATCTTTTACTCTKTGTTAGCCTCAACTGCGTGCAAAATAGTTCAGAAATTTAGATAAAACTCGTGAAATTTTAAACTATTTATCTTTGTTTGATATTGAATTTTTTGATATATAACGCGCACTCTGATTGGCTGATAAGAGGACAGAGACACGGCTTACCGGTAAAATTTGTTTTTCGCTACGCTCGTGTTCCTAAGCTTGCTTCTCCCACCGTGTTTATATCAGAGGACAGAGACACGCGCGCCGTTTTACATTTCTTAAATATATGTCATGCATCAAAGATTGCTCATCTACATTTTATTTGATAGGCAGTCAGTTTGAACCTCTGACGAAAATAACCCTTAGTGTTAAAACAACAGAATGTTTTGATGTGACATCATAATGAAATACAGCAATTGGTAGTCATGTTTAAACTGATTAGGTAAGTTTGCCACTCCAAAAAGATAAAAGCTAAACCCAGAAAGCATCATGGGATATACTTTACGTTTACATGCACTTATTGGTTTAACTCAAACCTTCTAGAATATATAAATATTACACATTTGACAAAATGCATTGGTACCGAACGCTCTCATTTTCAGAGTATTCAAAGCTACGTACCCACAAAACTCTTCGGTCTCGCATTTGTGTCTTTTATGTTTTTGAAAGCACGAACTTATAAAACCCTTTTAGCGATCTCTTTTTTACGCTGTTTTAGCCTCAAAACCATGTATAGAGGACAATGAAAATAGGTCCAAATTTCCACTGTTTTTGAGCATCTTTCCCCAATGTAAACATACTGTGACGTCATAATGAAATAGGGCTATTAGCGCTCATTCCATATGAAAAGTATGCAATTTAGTGTTTAGAGTTATACACCTTAATCCAAAATGGCTGACTAGCCCTTGATGTCTCGTTTTCATGAAATTGTTCTTTTCTTTTAAAGTCACTCAAGCTCAAAGACAAAAGAATAATTTTATGAAAATGAGACATCAAGGGCTAGTCAGCCATTTTGGAATAAGGTGTATATGCGTATGATAACGACTGTATAACAACACAGTCGTTTCATAAAACATTGGAATACAGTTTTGTATATCTTTAATTAAAGATGTAGGCGAGAATGAAGAATCAACGACCGAAGGTTACGATGGACATTTATTATTGATTTACAATAAGCATTAAATATTGATTGATATTATAATTCTTTGTCGCAGAACACGGTGGAACGATACAATCCGTCATGAAGATCTTCTTATGATAGTACTTTTGTCCATAAACCTTTGCGGCATTGACCAACAAAACCAAACAAACAAACAAACAAAAACAAAACAAAAAAAAAAAACAAAAAACACGCGAAAAATGTGATATTGATCGTGCGTAATTGATACCACTATTTTTAGATCAACATATTAAAAGAATAGTTTTTTTCTCTCTTTACGTTTTTCCGTGCGACTGATATGTGATATCCCAACAAAGCTTCTAAATGGCCAATTYATGTGGAGATGGAAATATCTTTTTAACTTACCGTGCGTGCGTGCCATTGAAAGTTGATACCAAGTAGGCTTGTTAGTGAACTGATTCTTATAGGTCTTGGCGARACTGCGGGTATCATTTTTAATGAAGTTTTTATAGTCATGCATATCTCYATATTTCGTGGATAATTAGAATAGCTAGCTTTATTTGTGCTAGCGTTAGAGCGGTATGTACAAAATAGCAAGCATCGTCGTGATTTTGTATAGGTAATGTTATTCATCAATTTCTTGCTTAAAAAAAACCTTTTTTTGAGAAATTTGCTAATTACACATTAGACCGTAATTAAATCACTGCGGGTTGCATWCATTCATTATTCATAGTGTGGCAAGAATCCGTTAATTAACTGAATCAAGTCTACGATTAATGATACCCAATACCTTGTCAGAATATGTGAGCAGACGAAAAAACCACTATCGCTAATTCCTAATGTTCAAATTGGTCTACTATAAATCTGTACTGATTCAAATTCATGCAAATTGCACTCTGAAGGAAAAATGATTGTTGTAGCAACGCCGAATTTTAAATCGGTTGCATGCGACATCATGAAGATGAAATTCCCACAACACATAGATTAAGAAAATCAATGAGATGATATTTTACTTCCAAATCCGTGTAAAAGCGTATTTATTTATTTATTTATTTATTTATCCTTTGTACAGCGTTTTGATGTTCCTAAGCGTCACATCAATTAAGGCTAAGGACTCGGAAAGACATCAGTCTCAGTAGCGAGGCTTCAAGTTTTTTTTCCTTGTCCTGGCATTCCCATTTATTCTGTTGTGTTACCATATCAAATCTCATTTGATAATTACATTTTGAATTCTCTTCGCACATTTTGAATGTACTTTTCAAAAGCTTATAGAATGATAAATATACCAAATTTACCACATAAAAATGTTTGCCGCCTCCTTGTTATAAAGATACAAGTCTGATATTGTCCTCTGTAAATAATGACATTTTCTTAATGGTCTGTATATAAAATAGTTTCTTGGCCAGCCAAGATGTATTTTTCTTTTGCATTTTTAAGATGCTTTTTATAATGATTCCGATTTTAAACTGATGTTTCCTTAAAACTTTGAATGTGAAACACTTCATCTTCGTTTTCGTTTAATTCTAACTCGTCGGTTTCTTTTTGTAAACTGATACCATTCATTCTAACAGTGCTTTCAGCTTCTAAAGTCTTTTCTTTGCTACTGACTGCACAGTTCTCGCTTTGTTGATGTCTTGATGCCTTGGTTGGCGAAACGTCTCGTCTTTTTCTCGGCACTGACTGGAGTTTCTTCCATAGAACATCCTCACCGGAGATGTCTGGAAGTCTTCTCTCCAGAAAGTAACAGCTGCCTGATAGTTTGTCCATCTTGAACCCATCTGGAAGTGAGCTTCTTGGTCGTCGGATGAATTTCAAATCGTTGCGATGACGGATAAGCCTCGAAGAGAATAATATACGTGTTAACTACGCACTTCCAGTAATACTGGTGATACTGTAACCGTTGCCCTCGGTTAATCTTGGCAAAACTATGGGGCATTTAGTGGTTGGAAAAGTGTTTTGCTTTACTTCTCTTTGACCACAAGACTAAAAACTAGCGGTGTTTTTATTTAGGGTTGCTGTTTATGATAATGATGATGATGATGATGTGTTTTGCTTTACTTCTCTTCGACTACACGCCTAAGATCATCCCTACCCCCACTCAGTCAATCCTAGACCTGGCGGTGTCTTTATTTTGGGTTGCTGTTTTAAATATGATAATGATGATGATGATGTGTTTTGCTTTACTTCTCTTCGACTACACGCCTAAGATCATCCCTACCCCCACTCAGTCAATCCTAGACCTGGCGGTGTCTTTATTTTGGGTTGCTGTTTTAAATATGATAATGATGATGATTGTGTGTGAAACTCACTCGTAAGATGTAGGACTGACATTGATCCGTCCTGCTTCACTTTCGGTTTCCATCTTGTTCGCTATGGTAACATCATGTCCAAACAAACAGTAACGAGGCATTTTAGTTCCTACCACACCCGAAAGCACAGATCCAGTATGGATACCTACTCGCATCTGAAAGAAAACACAGTATTCATTGAAAGTTATCTGACTCAAAATTTTGTTGTTTTCCCCTAAAAAATATTTTTCTCTGAGAATTTGTAAATAAATATAAAATCAACTGATACAACAAAGCCGCTAAATGCACTATCAATACTATTAATCTCCAGACCATTGCGTGCAGTGTTTGTAAAAACCAATTTGAATTAATATCGCGAACTGATGGCCGATCGCAGACAGATAAGTTTATTATAAGAACTGTAGGGGTTTTCTAAATCGGCAAAAAAACAGCTCATAAGCACTGGTTAACTTGTTGTTTTTTTGTCAACATCACGTTTTAAACCGAAGGGCACATCTAGTACATTCAATCAGAAGTAGGCCTGTGTAGGTCGTCGATGCATTGCATATTTAGTGAGACTCCGCAATCTCCAATCAATCCATTCCAGCTGGTTAACGTTGTATAGGTGTTTATCTATTGATTTTATGCCGCAATACTTTCATTCATTGCACCTGCTRCAATTGATTTCTCAACAATCTTTCAATTAAAGAAGATTACACGCGATATAGTYSCTTTCGGCAAAAAGCTGCCCTAAATTATACAAAAATGATAAATGCATATGAATATCAATTCTCGTACCTTGAGTGGAACTCCTTCAGGTGACAGGACATTCTTTAGGAAATCAATCATACCAAGAGCCATTTTTGCGACTCGGTATCCATCTTGAGCTGTACCATGCATTTTCTGCACGCCACCCGCAACTACGTACGCATCGCCAATCGTTTCGACCTAAAAAAGTTGCAAGTATATTACTCACATTTTTCGTAAGTGAAAACACCAATGCTTTCGGGGTTTGTTTGTATGTTGTTGTTTTTTTGTTTTTTTTTTGTAATCACCCGTCGCTATTGTTTGAATTATTTGTTCCCGATATACCGTACTTCTATTCTARGTGTCGTCGCGACGTTTTTTAATAAACTTCTTATATACAAGTTCGAGTTTTTGCGTCGAGATAACTGCACGTTTTGCAAAATATGGTGGGACTTGCTTTTGTCTACAAACTATACACTATACATTTCAASTGAAACATGAATGAAAATTGATTTTAAATTACCTTGTACAGATCTAATTCTCCACATAGCTTATCAAACTCTGTATATAAATCTTCTAACATTTCAACGACTTCCATGGCTGTGCATTTCCCGCAAATAGACGTAAAGCCAACGATATCGCTAAAAAGCATTGTCACATTCTCAATAAAACGCGCGGGAACATGCTGTTTGTTGATTAACTTCTGGGCTACATCGTAAGGAAATATCGAACCCAGCAAATCTTCAGTCTTTTTCTTTTCTTCCTCGAGCTCCGTGGAAGCTTTTTCAAGCTGAATTTGAAGTTGTTCCATTCTYYTTTTRATGCCATCCTGTGCATGAGCCTGCTCGCTTACAAGAATAAGATCCCTAGTAGCATCGTGAATCGGTATGTCACTCAGAAACAATCCGCGCCCTTTTAGTTGTTCCAACTTTTTCACTAAAGGTGAAGCAAGGTAGAGGATGCAGTTTGATTCAGGAAGATGTATCATTTGMCCTTTAAGTTCCATCGAGGCTTTTTTATCGTCCRCTGAAGTGGATTTAAGCATTAATAAGAACGCTCCATTGATCCTGTTAAGTATTGAGTTGAACGTAAAATTGATGTCAGGTGAAATTAGTTCAAAGTATGTACACATTGAAGTCCCGTGTTGAGTAAGAGCATGTCCTATTAGTCGTAATATCGTTACACCAAGCTGCTGTATCTCCATATTATGATCAAAAACTACATGACAAGGAAACGCGCAACACAGAGTTGGAACGCTGATTGCAAGTTCATGTGGATCCGTGGAACACAAAGACTTCTTAATTGTGAAATTCTCGCTTTCCTGACGTATTTCAAATACGGTATGATCCATATTGCCACTCGACGGCTTTGTAGTGTCCTTTTTGATGTCCATTGTCACTGTTTGATGAAATAAAACTTTAGCTGCACAGGTGACTGCTCCTATAACACAGGTATCCCATCCTTTTCTTCTCGAGTAATAGTGCAACTCCAATGACTCGCCGTCGTCACATACATCACATCTGAACGACGGTGGCTTTGCGTCATTTAGTTGCTGTGCTTGGACAACAATATCCACAAAATTATCGATATTATTCAAGAAATCACAGAGGGAACTTCCTAGGGATTGAAGGATCTTTCCTTGTGGTAGTTTCAAAAACATGAGAAAGGTGGCCCGCCCAAGTTCGCGTAGGAGGTCATCAACATTTTGTCCTGAAAAAATACAATAACAACAAATTATATCTGAAAACAAGTCTATAACTAACTTTGTGATTTGATCGTGTACTGTTATCATCATGGAAGATTAAATGGTTGGTTTCTCATTTTGGTTTGTGGTTAGATTAGCCCACTATCTAACATATTGACTGAAATGAAAAAAGGCTTTGTGTTGGGCTTGTATATTTGAATAACGATTTCTTTAAGTTTATTGAGGGTTACTTTTTCATTAAATGGAAACATCACAACAAATTGTGCTGCTATTAGTTTCTTTTGCAGTCTTAACTTATCTTCCGTTCAACCTCATAGTGGTTAAATTAAAAACCGCGTGGATGGATTAAAAGTGCAAGAAAATACGTTTAAAACCCGACTAAGGTTAATCTCCCATTGTGGGGCGTATGCCTCAATTGATTTTTGACGACAGAGTTTTCTAGAAGCGTCCAAGAGCTAAATGGCTTTTTTAATAGTTCGCGGTTGCGCCTAGTTACTTCACTATAGTAGTAATACGCGTTCCTTGTGGTACAAAATGTTCTGACCTTCATCTTGAGAATAACATCAATTTCGATGATATATAAACTGAAACACTGTATATACTGCATACATATACTAAGCTGAAACACTTTTACTTAGAGAATATTTTACCATGATTAAAGTCAAGTTTGCCATCGTTGACATAGTCGGTAAAGCCTTCATTTCGTTTGTCCACAATCCATTTTGATCTTGACTAATATTGACGTCTGCCTTAATACCCAGTTCTTTAGAATATTCGAAACGATATCATGTGGTAATTTGCATTTCCCGAGAAAGAGATTTCGTATTTTTTATTATTGAGCAATATGTAAGATAGGTTGCATGAATTATAAGAAATAATTCTATTGCTGTCTTATATATTGTTGCTCGGTGATATATTTTGTTATCTATGCATTCATCATTATTTAGTATGATTTTCATTGTTGTTTTATAATTTTCATAGCATTGTGCTTTATTTTAATTTTGTATGTCTATATGCAATTTGCAATTATTGTCTATGACACGAAGTAAGCTACGAGTAGAGGGCGCTGATTTTACTCGAACAAAACCAATACTAGAAGCGCCGTGAGGCTGTTATGCTCAACACCTAATAATGCTACTGAGTCTTTCTTTCTACACTCGACATATATAAAAAATTATATATTAGCAAAACTCAAGAAACTACACCCACAACGCTATAAATTGATTATATTCGCAAAATGATGAAGACCAACCAAGGTAGAATTGATAGATATCACCAAAAACCTCGTTTTACATCAGAAACAAAAGCAAAAATCGAAACGCATATGGGAATAGGCAGTAATTTTGTTAGACGATAGCTGTCAGGTTCATACAATAACAAACTATTACACTGATAGCTTGATGARGCAGCATTGCATCGGAAGACGYGATTGTCACTCATACYGTGTATTTGTATGAAGAACGCGTCTASAGCGTGAATGACAAGTAGAATTTGCTATCTGAAAATATAAATTAACCCCCAGACTTTAGTCGCCAACAAATCTAATATTTGATTTAAGAAAAATAGTATAGTGTGGATTTATAAGTTTAATTTTAATGTTTTTATGACTCCAATGGACGGTATGAAAAGGTGATATTCATATAATGAATAAATGCAGTATAGATATGAATGGAATTAAAAATAGTAACATCGTCTTATTTTCGCTGGTCATCGCAGTTATCTTCAGCTGTTCTACGATTATTCGTTTTATTTGTTTGTCTCATTTTTTATTCATTTGTTTATCTGTTCAGTTTGCTTATTTGCCTGTTTGATGCTCAGTCTTTCTAGACATTATTTATAAAGTATTGGACTTATTTTCGGTAAAGCAAGTGTTTTTAAATACAATCCTTTTAAAAGTACTTACATCACGTGGRTATTATGTAACTCTTATTAAGGTCTATCTCTTTTAATTGTTTTCAGAGTCCCTTCATAATGGGCTTGTAATGGAAGCAATATTAACTTTGTTGGGGTTAATTTAAATGTTCGAATGAAATATTTCGGAGTTATGACGGGCTCCATGGACAACTAGCCTTGCCAGTTACTTAGGTTCGMCAATTGAGAAATAAAATTTAAATAGMAAAACATCCCACAGCGGTCTAACAACATGTCAAAGCATTGATTGCTGCTATTTTCGTTCAATCTTTCCCAAACATGTTTATATTATGTTTACAATATGCTCTTATTTTCTATATGTTGTTGATATTAACGGTCTCCTTGAATGTGGGACTAACGTAAGAATGTTATCCAAAATCAAGGAAAAAACATGTACTCCAAACGTATACWGCAAAAGCGAGAAAACTCGTGAGCAAATTACACACCATTTAAAAGTAAGRCGATAGYRGTTRTTATCACCTTGAAATTTCCCCGGTAGATTTGACAGTACTTAAATGCGTGATAACCTCTTTGAAGAAGAGCTATAGTCGGAAGTGACATAAGGCGTTGTGTTTATTAAAAGATCGTTAATAGAAGAACGAATTTTTTTGTTGTTTATTACATTGAATCCTGTCCTACTGTGCTTCTAATCKGTTTTTGCTGCTAAATTTTAATCAGATCTGAAAGGCCTACTGCGAGATTTAATCAACTAATAAAGTGAAATGGCTATAAAAATTATYTTTCTACAACCTAGTGTATACCACAACTATAAAAGTACAAGAATTCCAATTCATTCAATTACTCATATTTTTAAAAGACAATTTCTAGATCACTCAATTAAAGAGAGACAAAACTATGAAGTGTCTAGCCTGTGATTTTTTCAACAAACTATACGTTTTTTGACTAATTCGTTTTTCTTAGTTTTCMATTATCATTTACTGGGATGTTGTCGCTAAGTGAATGGCTAAAAAAAATTCAGACTCTGAATTGGTCAAGCCTTTTTGTCGTTTCATTTGACTTGCAGTTTGTTCCTTTGTCGGAACTGTTTGTTCAATTTATTTTTGTGTTGTTTTTTCTTGCTGCTTTTTTCCTTTTGTGACTGACTTGATGATTCAATTACAAACATCTAAAATCTGCATACATTACTCTGACAGTGATGTACAAACACATCATAGCTTTGTTTTCGTACATCCTATGGACTTCTTAACGATCATTGGCTTTTAATTGTTTTACCTTTTCAWTCCCAAGCTTCGTTTTCAYGRGGGAAGCTAGTGGAAATAGATRATGGCCAAAAATACGATCAAGGTGTTGATTCATTATTTATTGAACGTAATGAAGTGTCGGTTTTTTGTGTTTTAAGTAAACTTTTAGAAATGATTCTGATAACATAATTWCCAAAATGAGTTATTTTTTATGATTTTGGCGTTTCAACTTGAGTTGAGTAAAACTTGACTGAATGCATTGTGATATATACCTATAGCTTATCATTGATTGGCARTTCAGGTACTCAACCATCCAATCCCTCGATTGTTCACTACCTTGAGTTTATTATAGCAATACTCTTGGATCGGATCTTGGGCGGCAAGAATTATATATTTGTGAAGTGATTAAAGTTGGCCTAAGAACCACTATCCTCTTTTAGTTTGTCAACTTCTTCCTATTTGACATAAGCCGCTATTTCCTATCGGAGTAGATCCTTTTCAAACATGAAGTACAATTTAAATCTTTAGTAATGACTATAAGTTTCCTGAATTCTGTTCAATTGGATATATTCAAAACAAAGAATGGATTTAYTGAAGTCGCGAATTGAAGTTCTGTATGGCTCCTTGTATACATAAAAAATTGTCGAATACAATATCAGTTAGCTTAGTTTATAGGAAAAAAAACGGGGTATTATTAGATTATAGTGTAGAAGTGCAAATTTGTCCTTGTCAAATGCACCTGTGGATACTAGAAAGATAAAAGTATGTCAGACACCTTGTAATCAGTGGCCTTCGTGCCCAAAACACCATTTCTTTTCTGGATACTGTTGTAAACTATAATTATGCCATGAARGTTTTAATTTATTTGGGCTTAAAAAAAGAGATTTATCGTCTTTATCAAGTTAAGAAATCGTTGTGATATAAAAAGATGAGTGGTTCGAACATCAAGATAAGAGATTCATATAAGATTCATATATTTGTCGCTTTTTATGAATGATGTGATGATCATTCAACTTGGTAAGACTGTTACGCAGAMTTTCTCGGGCAGCAAGAAGAGTCGAAAAATTAGGGAYGCTGCGCAGGTTTGAAGATTAGAAAAATTTTCCCATCAAATCCCACTTTTTGYKCTAGTWTTTGATATGTGTTAATTCGTTTCTCAATTCTAGTGTTGCAATGGGTGATCTTATTCGCTGGCAAAAAGGTTGTTCCGTCGCCGAGGGCTTTATTCTAAAAAAAAAACTTATTCCATAAGCTAAAAACAACTTGGTTCTCCTATAATCAAAACAATCTCCATATTTGCGAAAAGTGTTGTAGTAAGATATTCAGATTTTTGGACAAGATATGAATTTTGAATAAGTATAAGGCCATTCGGTATCTATATGAAATAKGTCTTCAAATGTGACTGACTTTTATAGATGTTTATCAATTATAGCAAAAACTTTAGCGGAAGGTAAAACTTTCAATGAACATTAAGTAGAGGATATCAATACGATTAAATAATCCATCCACCGCCGGAAAGTATTAATTTTAGTCGTTTCCATACATGTAGTATCTTATCAAAGTTAAAAACTGAGCGGATATCTTTTCCTGGAATCATCTTTTTGTGTTTAAATGTCTATAACATAATATTTAAAATGAATCATTTATAATTCTTCTATATATGTATAAGAAAATATTTTATTCTTTTTGACGCTGTATTTTACTGAAGCAGTACTAAAAAATACTATACACCTCAAGATTGTTGAATTTCGTATCTTTATGTACTGTAAGTTTACTAGAATTTAGTCAAAAAGTGGAATAGTATTTAAGATTGTTTACAATTAACTTGTAGGATATGACAGTTTTGACAGATTTAACTGGTTCGAAATAATGGATATTGAAAGTAATATGTCTAATGCATGGTATCGCATATCGATCTGCCTTTTCAAATCGGCATTTTTTTTATTCATTGGAAATCGAAACACTGTCTTATTTCTGTAAACAAAGGAAACTTTCTCCATAGGCAAAACATAGCTTTAATTAAAACAAAGCGGACACTATTACTTGTCTACCAATTAAAATGAAAATCTCCAGATGAATACAAGTGATTTTCATAATCCTTCCGTAAGAACTTTATGAAATATTACCTTTGTCATTCTAGTGTGTAGTTTCCGATTCTAAAGCTACTCAATATAATAGCTTTTGGATACTTTAGATTTAACTGTGTTATTTTTTGTGAGATGGTGAACTTACCAAGTACTTGCGATATGATGTTTATAATTTCCCGCGTAAAATCAAGGGAATCGCCAAACAACGTGTTGTTATTAGAACCATCGGTGGTAGCGCTGCGTTCCTTCGACTTGAATTCCTTTAATTGTCCAATTTTCCCCCTGTATTGCAAATATTTTAATATCAGGACAACAAAGATTGATTGCAACCAGATGAMGAGCAAAATTAAAGCATAGAAGCCTGAATTTCATTGTATCATTAACTGTAATGTCAACTTACTGAACTCTGCTCCATCCATCTGTTCCATGCTTGTCTATGATGAGCTCCCGAAGGACATCTTTTATCATGGTAATCTTAACAAGAAAGTATAGAACAATTCAGGATGCTACACAGCACAAAGCGCGGTCAGTGAGCATCTGTTACAGGTATCTTAAAATATTAAGTGAATCCGTTCTGTCGGAGCAATCTACGTTATATAGATATGCTTTTATAGACGCTTGTGAATTTCATTAAAGGAAAAACATCCTCTAAAAAACATACCATGCTACAACTAACGCTTCTGTCCCATCCGCCGATCGTTTGCGATGAAAGGTTCTCTCTCGAGTGTAAAATGTTGACAACGGCGTTTATTCGCACGTTCTTTTTGATTTGTATTTGTTCATAAGTCGGTATTGGTCCGGTTTTCAGCTTGGACTGTTGTATTAGATCTCAAAGATTATGTAAATACATTCTTTCGGTGGTATTTTGAATACAATGTATTAAAAGTTGACGAATCAAAATCGAGGTAATTTAAACCCACCGTTGGGGACTCGCGCGCGCTTTTTTTGTCGTTTGACAACATGTGGATAGCTCTGTGCCGACCTTCAACACAAACCAGCCGGTCACTGCTGCAAAACAAACTATTGGCAAAGATTACCTATTTAGAGAGCTTTATATGGCTCAAAAGCCTTACAACCGGCACTGGTATTGACACTTATTAAGTCCGCGCGTGCGTGTCTTTAATTTTTAAAATAGTTTTTTTTTTCTGGTGAACTGAAGGAAGTTTGCATTCCACCAGCAACACAAATCAACAACTACTATACACGAAATCAAAATTAGATTACATTTATTCCTCGYCGTTTTCATTGTAATTCCACTTTCCAGAAGTGCGGATTGTAACGTATTATTGAAGTTAAAAATGATTATTGCGTTAATGAGATTGAGAGAAAAAAAATGTAATTTTCATTGCGTTCCATTATTCGTTATACAATAACTTGACACAAATTTAACCCAAAGAAAAGTCTGGTCAGCTATATAAATGACAGCTAGAACGTTAACCGGTTTCGACGTGGGTCGCTTCAATAAGTGGTCGGTTCACCAATTCATAATTTATTTCATTTATTTCAAACAAACTGTGTCATCCTGAGATATACGCATTTGACTTGAAAGTTGAAATAAGCAAAACTTCTAAAATCAGAACTACACCAAAACAAAGCACAATTCGTCTCTAAAAACAAAAGAATGCCGATGCTACTACAGGTTTTTGTTTACCCTGCTGTTACAACTCGTGCTGTGGCCAATATACATATCAGAATTTTATTGGCGCATTTATAATTAAACAGAGCTTGCTGCATTTTATTTTACATGTCTTATCTGTCACTGGAATACCGTTACAACAACACGAGGACTTTATTTCCACTTTCCTTCACTTCGTCATAATATTTTCTTTTAGATATTACCCCCTTAGGGCCTTATAAGCTCGTGTGATGGTGAGCAATCTCGATATCTTGGCCAATATTTTCGTGGTGTGCAAATTATGCGGTTGAAGTCATTTCATTAACCTAAATATCCAGACGGGTGTCACTTGGTGTCGGGATTAGTACGATATATTTTGTTTAGGCATGAGCTTCTTGATAAAGATAAGCCATTTACCAATAGAATACCCTTATAAAGGAAATAGGTCGGCACTAGACCCTTCACACCTTATCAACACTCAATATACTAAACCTTAATTGACTCCATAGTAGACCCATGTGGGGCACTAACAATGGTTTTCAAATCGCCTTTTTGTTCGTATGTTTTCTTTTYAAATTGTGGAATCTTTGCGAATGATTTTGCATCTTCGTAAATATTGATTTATTATGTATGGTTTCGATATAGACGGCGGTTTTTTATCAAAAAATCCACATGTCGATCGAAATGCATTATGGATGAACGATAAAAAATTGTACATATTGAGTTTTGCAATCAACTTTTGGCCACATCAGGCGATCTGTTAACTAATACGCGCAGTCATTTAATTCATAATAATGCTTGATTTCACCGCAAGAAGTTTGATGTGCCTATGACCGAACTACACACAAAAAGTTATCCAGAGGCTTTATCGTACACTGTGTGGGTCTTAAATCTCCTATAATGCTCTTGATTTTCACGCTAATGTACAGTAATTGGTCACTAGGGCGAAGATTTCTCGATGAGATTCAGGATCTTGAGCTGATGATCTTTAATGGTTATTATAGTTTCACCCCGGTCGATGTTCATCAACCAGTGACGTAGATAATAAGATCGCGTGTATGTCAAACAACTCGCAGACAATTACCAAAATAACGCTATAGGTCAAAATTATGATTACCTTCACTCACATGTCTATTCATGAAAACATTTTTTGTTATATTGTTATTTTGTTTGAATCTCAAAATTGTCTCTAAATGGAATCTCACTTTGGTTTTCAGTTGAAAAACTGAGTCGTTTCGCAAGTTTTCTTTACTATACAGTCTTAGCACTAGCGCAGACGAAATTACTACCTAAAACCAGCTTAAAGGATTCGATGATCAGCGTGATAATATAGACTCTTAAACTGAAGGCGGTTCTGCGTGCCACCCATTGAACTCTTGAAATCCAATATGAATAAACGAGATATTTTCCTAGTAAAGCGTTTTTACTGATGTAGTAATAGTCAAAAACTTGGTCAGATTTATGATATAAATAGTTACCTGCATRTTGGCTGCATTCGTCATGGCAAGAAATTGTCAACCAACAGTCGATCACTCGCTTGCTCCTGATAAGATTGGTTTCTTTCAGGTTTAAAAAAGCAAATATTTTACTAGCAAACCTCAAGACAGTTACCCAGCAACCTAGGGCTAAATCCACTTCGAATATTGACTAACATCTGAGAGTGTCTTTGCCGAGGGTTTCTCTGAACTGACAACGTGTTTGATGGCAAAACTCTTTGTTTAAATCATAACATCCTGAGGCTCGGTACCCCACAGTGAACCCCGACTCTTATTGGCTTACATGTACTCCAGTTGCTCCTTCGACGGGTCTTTTTTTATGGCAAGCATTGATTTGTGCTTGGTAGGTCATATATATGATCTGCACTGTTTTGTTTTCATTTCTTTGGAAAGTGGGAGGTTTTGGTGTGTTTAACTTTCCCATTACTACTATGCATATTTTACCTTGCATATTCCTTTCTGCACAGTGTATCAGATATCATGAACCTTTTTACATTTTCCCAAAAGACGTTTGAATTGTAAATATTAGTCTTAAGGCTGATTTACACGGTACGATTTGTCGCGCGCGACTTGTAGTATACGATTTTCCTACTACAAGTCGTAGGATTTTAAGCAGTGGTTCAAAACCCTACTACAAGTCGTAGGTTGCGTACGACTGTTGTAGACAAGTCGTAGGGGCATTTACACTGCGCGATTCAAGTCGTATACTACAAGTCGCACGAGACAATCGTGCCGTGTAAATCAGCCTTTAATTATGTCATACTCCTCGTAGTTTGGTATTATTGTTTATGTTGAGTATTCTTAACCATAAAGGTTCGTCAAGGTGCTCATCTAAGTATAATGCGTTGAATCACATTAACCGCTACACATCCTTTTATTGTATTTCAAAATTTCATGTTTTAATTACTCTTGCTTCCTTTGAGCGAATTCAATAGTCTAATGTCATCTACACAGAGCAAGTCAAACTTCCTGTTGGTAATTTCATGCCACTAATGAACATCATTTTTTTAAAGATGACATTTAGAAACAGCTTGATATAGCAAATGCTATCAGGGTATGCGGACTTTGCAAAGGTAATAAACGTCAATTTACGCCATGGGCATTTTAAATCAATGTGATGTTTAGACAGTTGATGAGAGCAAATTGAATTATGCGGTAGGTCTATTGTTTCTAAAGTGATTTTGCTATTTAGAGCGCATAGAATACGCCAAATGGATAWTAACCCTGAAATACAATCGGGTGATGCCAATTATACCTTAAAAAAGGAACAAAAAACATGCGAAATACCAAAAAAATATGTGATATTTGAATGAGGTAATAAATAAATAAGCCAAAATATGCCTATCAACTTCTATCATTCTTATACACTCTCGAGGACGCATTCTYACTGTTTTTAGTGATTTTTTTTCTTCTAATATATTCAAATTTTCTATTTATTAAAATGTATAGATGTATAAACAACAACAAAGTAGATAACCTCTCAAACTTAATATAAACAATCACTTTGAATTTCATCATTGGAGMAACAACAAGAAAATCCCCCATATCAAGTGGTGACAGCGGTGGGATWAAGAATGCTACCACAAATCTGACCAAAAAGTCAAATTATGGCCAATTTTCATTTGCACAAAAGAATAAACATTKTGGGCTCSTGACAGTCGTGGCTTRCCGTGATATTTTCTTTCTCTGGCTACTTATCAGGATTTCTAAGCTAATATCAATATAATATGTCCACTTTTTCTCTGCAATGATTAATATTGCCTGTCTGATCACGRAATACAATATTACCCATGCGTCATTGAGAATGTTAACTCACGCCGATCGACTGATAAAGTGATATTGGATTTACACCWTKAAGAATAGCACACACGTATATCGTACAAAAGGGTTTTGCTAAGCTTATTTGCGATAACGTAATTTGTGTTCTTTCGAATACTAAGTTCTACGTGACCGCATAAATTACATCCTTTAAAGTGCATATGAACCATTTTAGAAAATCATTTTGAGCAAAAGGCAAATATGATGCTAATCATTGTTTTGAAGAAGAAAAAGTTTTTTGAATTTTATTTTCTGAGTTAAAGGCATTTAAAAATTGAAAATGCTAATGATGTGACGTCAAGGGAGGCTTCATTAAATATACGAACTTTGAAGGAGTCGCTTAAAAATGGTTTCATGGCATTAAATTTATMGYAGRCAATGKAGGBAATAATCATATTCCCAGTTGGCGTTCATGAAAACACTTTTGAGTGACTCCTTCAAAGTTCGTATGTTTGATGGAGCCTCCCTTGACGTCACATCATTAGCATTTTCAATTTTCACTAATGCCTTTAACTCAGAAAATAAAATTCAAAAAACTTTTTCTTCTTCAAAACAATGATTAGCATCATATTTGCCTTTTGTTAAAAATGATTATCTAAAATGGTTCATATGCACTTTAAAAACAAAGTATATATTAATATGCCTTGGTGAAAAATTAACGAACCATAGTGCCGTCAAATTAGGAAAATTATGAAATGTCTTTTTAATAAAAAAAAGGTATCATTGCAATGCATAAAGAGAAAAGGACGTCAATAAAAAAACAATTTCATGTTTTTATGGTACATGATATTGAACTGTGGACTATCACAGTCATTTCGTATTATTTATTCTCAGCAGGTTATTCAGTGCGTTTCTAGGTAATACTGGCAGCGCTTACAATACATCTCCAAACKTCCTGATGATTTTTCGTTTTTCTTTGCAAGTTCGCTATGAAAACGACGAAAAAAATATAGAAGTCGATTTACGAAAAAATATAGAGGTCTATTTACATGTATAAGTCCTTGATCTTGTGCAATGTGTTGTAAAATTTTAAGTAGTTGATTATTCAAATGCACTCACTCTATCGATTGTCTTACAATGAACTTAATCATTAAGTTCACTTAAGACAATGTATATAACAACTAGGTATAATACACTCACCTCGGTTTGACTTATACAGATCTTCAGAACATACAACATGTCAAATATATTTATATTAGTAAAACGATCATCGATGACCTCCCTTACAGTTCAACTATCAGTCTAGCAAAGTAGTGTGCACCTGTCTTCACCGATATCATCATGCACGTGTCAATCTGTATAAAAAAAACTTGTCCAAACATACCGAGCACTGGGTAGTGCTTCTATTACAATGATATAAACATTTTTTAATATATGGATTGCAGTTATAGTACACTTTTGAACAAGTAAAAATGATACATCGTCCATGCATAACTAAAAAACATTCACATCCTAGTCATCATTTCGTACTATTCTTGTTTTCTTATGAAAGTGCTRTATTTACACGTCCAGGTGGTAATGCACTCCAACCATTACCTTCTTATTGCTATAAAAGGTGTCTTTATATATACTTAATGCATTTGTTTGTACTTAAACTTTTTTGACGAACTGAAGTGTCACTCGCCTCAGGAGTACCTTTTGTTGARGTTTTCTTCAGTTACAAGCGCAACAGTACCTATATCTTTCTCTCTAAGAGAGCAACTTGATAATATATATTTTATACAAGAGATGGGATCAGAACATAATATTGTATATCTCCTAGATTGAACATCCGCCATTTGCARTTAATGACCAAAAAGCTTGCAATTAGCTTTGTTTCGAGTTTACGTGGGTAAAGTCATTATTAATCTTCATCGCGTCGATCTTTTCCTGTAATCCCATGAGAGCGACTAGCTTCTCTCTRTCCATTTCACCAAAAGACTTATCATCAAGGCTGAACTCATCATTATCATCGGGGACGTACTCCAGTTCCGGAGTGCTCGTTAACCCATTCTCGTCTTTCTTTATCCTGCCAGGCATTTTGTGCACAGTTGTTCGTCTCTTGACGGGACAAATTGGAGGCTTTGGGGTTGACTTTTCTTTCGTTATCGATACAGGCTCTACAGAACTGGCGCGCCTTCGTGTGGCCGTCGGAGAGTTMGTCGGTGAACCCATTGGAGATCGAAACATACAAATACTGTTAGGTGCCACAGACGATGTAATATCAACTAACGAGGTCCTTTTTGCTGTAAGGGCACTTCTCTTTACGAAGTAACACGGCAGTGGGTTTGCCACTACGTCGTTGACTTCATAGAGGTAATCTTTAGGCTGTTGGAGTGACCTGTTGAGAAGGAGCAAGCAATCAGTGCCGTTTTCAAAATAAATGGCTATATATTRCCGGAAGAAGACGAGTATTAAAAAGCTGATGAAGCCTGAGGGCCATTTGATATGCATGATATTCACTCTATATATCATTATTTTACTGTATGATATCGTGCTCACACAATGAGATTGGGTTCCCTGTGGTGACTGAGTAGGATTCCTGTAGTCACTCACACTCCCCCAATCCTTTATGTCGACTAAAAAAATTATCTTCAATTCCTTTTGCTTACTAAAAAAAACTGTTTTGGATATTCATATGTAGATTATTGTCATTCTCCTTAACATTTCAATATTATTCGAGTAGCGGTCCCTMTTGGCCAAAGGAATCCCATATAACTAATGACTCTTATTGCAAAGTGGATGTCGATGGTACTTACTGTTTAGTATCGACGCTGATGTTAATTCGACCTGGCTGACTWCCAGATTCCATTTTATTTGCAAGGGTCACAGTGCTGCCGAACAGGCAATATCTCGGCATTTTCTTTCCTACCACTCCAGCCATTACAGATCCCGTGTGAATACCAATACGTATCTGTCATAAAAGAAATGGAGTTATTAGTATATTCAGGGTTTTCTAGAGGCTATTCTGAGTCTCTTCATGTAGGGGGTGCAGGGACACTTTGCACTGCAAGTGAGGTAGAAAGTAGACGAAAGAATTCAAGAGTCCGAGGAGGAGATGCGCATCCCCTGCRTCTAAAACTGAGCTGGATCCACTCTGCAGGAGTAAATAACTGATACTGTAACGCCTAGACTGCACAGCTATCCCCTCCTTTACCCCCTTTCCCTCCTCCTTTCCTAGAAGAGCAACAAAGAGCTTTCTTCAGTCTCAAATCAACAACAAGATCTTTATAGGAAAGAAGGAACAGTTATATCTTACCTTTATAGGGTTCTTATCAACAGGAGAATGAACAGCTTCAGTAGCTTCCATCATACTACATCCCATGCTTACGACTTTGTCTGCATGATTATCGCAAGGGTGTGGTAGCCCCCCTACAACCATGTATGCATCACCGATGGTCTCCACCTGATAGTGAATTGATACAAACAAATCAGACTTTTAAGTGCGTAGAATAAAGAGAAGTACCAGGCTATTACATTGGAACCTCGCTAATGCGACCACCGAAGGGTTGTRGTCGYATTGTCAAGATAGAAAASTATGGGGKTTWRKTTTYYKGG